CATCATTTAAAATTCTCACTTCTTTCCTTCTTTCGGTTTCCACGATCTTAAAACCTGCGCGGACGTTTTGTACTCGCAAGTACATGTTAATGGTTGTGACAATAAAATCTTTTTTTTTTTACAGGTTCCCCATGATAAATCTGAGAATTCGCGATTCTTTGTGGCGAGCTGCACTTCTATTCATTGCATTTACGCAACTGAAATTTTTAGTTTGTCCAAAATCGCTGCTAGAACTGCCTTTTCGTAACTGGGAATTGTAATTGATGTAGTCCTGTTTGGTACGAATTGTTGAATTATAGTATAATCAGGTTTGCCGTAAAGAAATTAAAGAGGAAAAAAAACACAACAGCAAGGGGGACTTAAATTACGTTGAAAATAATTTAATATTTGTCAGTGTGGCGATCGTACACAGGGCATTCTGGTGAAGCGCTTTAGCTTCGCAAAATCAGAATTTAAATATCCTGTAACTTATGGTTTATGCATCGGTTGTTTCACGGCGATATTTTTACCATCGTGGCAAATGAATTCCGCAAAATATTACTGACTTCATTCTGTTGTTCAATATACAATGTAAAAGAAAAAACAAATCTATATCACTGAAGAGCGTGCTCCCAAATCGCAACGGTGAAAACTACCCGGTTCATTTACTTTGAAATGATAATCTGCGAAAATCGAAAACCTTCCGATTTTAGTAGTTTTTCAGTAATAGTGCTCTACGGCTCAAATTCATGGTAATATATTAAGACTGTCTGTTTGTATATGTTGTCAAAACAACGTTCCGGTTGTATCTAGAATACAAGTTAGTTGTAAATCTGCTGCCTTGGTTATGCCGGCGTAAACCGATGTAAATCCCGTAACAGAAGCTTTCCAGAAAGCTTAAACCAACAAAAACGTTTCACTCTAAAAATAAACCCCTTCCGTAATTAAAATATTATCTTTCAATTCTGATTTTTGTAATGAATGCAAACGGGGAAAAGCTCTTGATTTTGAATGTTATGATTTTTTTTTTGCTATTTCGAAACAATTTTTTTTATTTGTCTTCAAAATGATCCTTTAAAATGTAGAACGAACAGTTAGCTCCCAGATCATAAATCTCTTGATTTTTTTAAAAAAATATGTATCCTACTTTAACTGTAAATATTCAAATCAAACTTTGATTTCAAGTATGCAGTTACCTATGATAATGTAAAGCTTTCTTGCTTGCGTTTCAGCCTTCGCTGAAGTACTTTTTATGACATATGGCTGGATTTAAAAAAAAACCACCGTTATCTTTGCAGTGATCGTCTCATTCATATACGGAAAACAGAGACAAAGTGATATAATTTCTTTTGGGTGGTTCTAAAATGAATGGTTATTTGAGATTAGGATTTCTTCAGACTCTATGACTGCTGAAAGACGAGTGCTTTCGGCTTCCATCGCTTTAGAGTTTCTCCACTTTCTCCACGGTTATGTGGTATACGGAAGTCCATTTAACCGCTGGATATAAAATTCAAAATGTATAAAAGAGATCGTAAAATAGAGCAGGTTTGTTTTCTATATCCCTTCCGACCGTGATATGCCGTCGTACCGAGGTCATTTTCCCGATCTTTTGAAAGGCTATTATTTGCATGAATATGTTCCTAAATAGCGCATGTTATCTTGACTGCTTTTTTCAGTTTTTGGTTAGAAATAAAAGCGCTTTTAGAGATTAATCAAATGTAGTTACCGTTCAGATATCTTGTCTGTTAAAATTTAATGTTCTTTGTATCGAAGGATAAAATCTTGGTGAGGACAGGGCTTTCAAGTTCTTTCCCTCGGTGAACAAACAGCGGACTGTAACCGAATTTTTCGCGCTTAGAATAGCCTGAAATAATGTTTACAATCGGTTTGTGACAACCCAGACTGAAATTTTACCCCACTTTTGTAAATTTACTTCTTGCACACGTGAGGCGGAAATCGTAGCTGTTTGCAAGGGAGAGCTTGCTCAAAGGTCTAGTGGCAGGAATTTTGTGGCGTTGCATCGCGTGTGTTCCAAACTGCTCACCCTTGATAGAGGGTCATTCAGTTCAACTTAGATTACATCGCAAGGGAAGGTTCATATTGGTCAGTCACGGAAGAAAAATCACTCTTTCCTCCGAATTGATTTTTACCAACAGCTATTATCAAGTTAGATATACAGCACTGTTACTGTAAACGATGGTATTTTTTGTGCCGCAAACTGATAATTCCCGAACATTTATGGATCATAGTTCAAATATCGCTTTTCTCAGTAACGGCTTTAAAGTTCTTCTTTGCCTTGCTTCCGTAACAGCCTTGTATTACCAGCTCTATTTGGTTAAACTCATTTTTCAATGGTAAGGTGGGGAGGTGACATTATCTTTGCGATGAGGGAACTGTTATTCGAGTGCCCGATTTAGGATTTTTTGGGGGTGATAATTCGAGAGCACGTGCACCAAGATCGCTTACAAAGATCTGAACGTTTTGTCTTAAAAATAGAACTAAGTGTCATTTGTGTAAATGATAAATTGCTTTGATTTTGCAAGGCTTCAGCTGTAGTTTTCCAAGGACAAGAAGGTGTTACAATTCTGTTTTACTTTTGAGTAAAGTCGATTTACTGTACATCTCTTGCATAGATCTCGTCTCCGTTTTTCGCAGTCGATGTAGCTAGTTAACCGATATGATTCGGAGATTAGTAACCAAGCCAAACAAGGAACTGTTATTGTAAAGCATAGTAGGCCTGCGATGTCACAGGCTAAAATTAGGCGACTTAGTATGGATACAACTACACTGTATGGACGAAACCATGGTGTGAAGAGTGAGCAACATAGCGAAATCCAAATTCGCAGGAAATTGCCACATAAAGACGTGATGTTTCTTACGGTCGGTGAAACCTTTTCCTCTCGATTCCTAATTGATCGGCAGCTGTCGAGAGGTAAGCTGGATTTTGAATAACCACAGGGTGTGTTTATAGAGTTGCGCTTGTGGGAAATTTTTAAGCCCTCGAATGAAACCGGATATAGATGATACAAAGATACAAAGATACAAAGATGTAGTCGGAAGCCACAAAATTATAACGTGGGTTGAAATTAAACTTTGATCGATGAAACAAATTTAAGACTCAGTAAAGCCAATTACAAGGTGACCTTCGCGTCACGTTTTGTCGTTCCTAGGAAACCTAGGCTAGTATTTTGTAGCATATCATTTTCAATACTTCAGTGTTCAACACATGATTAGTAATCCTTGACGGTTTGGTTTTTTTGGTCAATTTATTCCAACCACCCTTGTGTATAAGAACTGAACGCTACCAAGTTGTTAATGTCAGATTTCATTTTTAATGACGACGAATTTATATCGCGCAGAAAATTATTTCTAGAACACTGACGTAAATGGTAAAACTGTTTCCGGCAGAGGTCCAAAGTTTTGTGCCAGGAATAATCTTTTTTCGCGAACCTAAAACGCACTAGCTAATGTTCTTGTTGGATCCGTTGTTCTTCCATCCGAGCTTTGTATATTTAACACAAGATTAAAGGATACGTTTCCACTTGTTTCGACTGCAAAAACTAGTATTTAAAGCTCATCTACACCAACGGCGCCTACTTGTAAAAGAAAAGAACTAGCCGGCTTGTATAGTCGGTCGGTATCATATTGGAGCTGACTGGCCGGGCGATCAGTCTATTCTCAACTTGTATCCCTAACAAGGATAAATTTTTACAAAAATCAGCGAAACCTCTCGAATAAGGTAAATCCAGTTTTTAACTAAACCGTCTGGCCGATCTGTTTTGGCTAATTTTGGGCGCCCACTCGCTACAAAAGGTTAGACACCCAGACCGCTACTTGCCTAAATTTGGTCAGATATTTTGACCAAAATTTTAAGTCGGAAGTCGCTTTTCCCTTACTTTAAATAGTTTGAAATCGTTTATCGTAGAGTTAATCAGTAATCTAAGAGCAACAACGAGAAACGACGTTTGAAATATACGGTAGTCGGGCTGAGAAACCACACTGAAAAATGCAAAATTGGGGTGACTTTTACGCTTTTAAGTTTTGGTCGAAGCACGTGTCTCACTAAAGTTCATGAGAAAGATTAACTGCTGTGGTGTTGAAAGCCCTTTATCATAAACATTCTGTGGTATTCATAACACAGTTGTGCACACTGAGGCAAAAAAATCGGAAGAGACACTTGGACTTCGCCCTCAAAATCTGAAAACAAAACCGAGGAATATATCGCGTCTGAAATATTTGGTAACCTAGAGCTCGATTACAAGTCTCAAAAAAATTCCTTGAGCTTTGCAATACGAGAAACATGGTGTCATTACTGGTAACTTTTCGACTTCTAATGCTTCTCCCGACCTTTCGACCGCTTTCAGTGGAAATCAGTTATGGACGTTGTCTACGATACTCATAGCAACAAAACGTTTCACAGGAGTTGTTTCATTGACAACAAATTCCCCTCTGTGAATATTTCGTGGAAGAAGTAGAGTTTTCCTCTTAGTTTTTTGTTTTTGTTTTTTTCTTTTTTTCGCTTCGTTATCTCGTTGCCTTTTCACATTTAGACTCAGGTTGAGACCTAACGATTGTATGTTTCTTTTCCAAGTTGTAATTTGGGATAACATTGTTTTTTTCTCCTTTTCTTGATGACTGGTCCGAGAAAAAAAAAAAGAAAAAACGCATGCCAAACTAGAATTATTTGTTACCTGGGCAAAACTTTTCCCGCGCTGAAGACAAGTTCCACGCAGTGTTTACATTCCTTTCTGATTGTTTGTACTGGTTTCGATCCAGTCCACTCCATATTTTCCTTATTGGTCGTTGAAATCACTCCAAGATTTGATTTGGGTTTATTAGCTCTTGCTTTAAAAGCATTTCAAAACTCACACCAAAGTTTTAATATATGATAAGTTAAAGTTTTCTTTCGGGCCGAGTGGCCCGTCTAGCAAGAGGTTATCACCGTTTCTGTGGCAGGTTTTCCTGACAGTTCACAGTCATTTGGTTGAAATGAAACTTACTCTTAACTCTTTTCTTTTCAGCGATCCCCATGAGTCTTCCATACGGGATGTTTACGGGACAAGGCATGGACCCGCGGGCGCTGAGCGCGGGAAATTTTCCTTACGCGTATGGTAACCCTATGATCTACTTTCAAAACTTTGCAACTGGTTACGGACATACGCAACGAGGCAAAAACAGCGAAGAAACAACAGGGTCTGACAAAAGCAACAATCCATCGTCTCAGTTAAGGTTTGTTATAAGGATACAAACGTTTTCAACACCAGCATTAGTTATCATAGAGTCGGCAAGATTCAGCAATAGATTTCAAAATTTAGTTTATTTTAGTTACTTGGTGAGAAAGTGGCGTGAGTTTTTTGATCCAATCGCACGGTGACGTAAAGCAAAATCAAAGAAATCTCGGATTTTTTTCGACACTCCACTGAGACTAGGTTTACACTAGAGGAAATTGTTCCGGATTCGTGATGAATCCGAAACGTTTTAGTACCGGATTGATTTTGTCGTTTACATTAAAGTGGACGAATCCGAAATAAAAACTCCCCGGTTTGGTCGTGTCTCCGGAGATTTTGAATCCGGAATTTAAAGTGGGAACTTTGAATCCAGAAAGTTTTGTCGTGTAACCGCTTTTTTTCTCGAATCCGGATATTTCCGCCTGCAATCTTTTGAGTTTGCGGTGCGGATATTTCCGCCTGCAATCTTTTGGGTTTGCGGTGAAACCAAAATGGAGGATCTGATGCTAACATTGCTGGCGGTCTCTGGTTGCCTAATCTTGTTGCAGGTTCAGGCGATAAAGTTTATCATGTGTACCGCAGTATTTCTGAGGAAACGCAAATTATCAGCCACGTCTTAATCGCCGACGACGTAGATGGCCTGGCATCTGTCCGACTCAAATTTGCCTGAGTGGCATCTGGATCTACTCTAGCCGTTTTTGGGGGAGGCATTTTCACTTTGTCGATCGAACGATGAAACAACACTGGGCTTGGTAACCATTCCATTTCGAATGTTCCCGGAGTTGTCGTTGTGTGTAAACGGTCAGGAATCCGAATATCCTTTCAATGTAAACGCTTACGAATCCGAATACTCCAAAATTGATGAAGCCGGAAACATTTACGAATCCGGAAAACTCTCCTCTAGTGTAAACCTTTTCTAAGAATTTCTCTTATCCTCAAAACCGAGTCAGTTAATGGCAGGAAAATTAATAATAATAATAATAATAATAATAATAATAATAATAATAATAATAATAATAATAATGACAATCTTTATACAGGGGGCTCACATCATTGGGGAGTGGTATTCTGTGAGGCCCTGTAAAATTAGTCATTATTGTGTGCTATTAGAGACGGTGAATTTAAATTCCATGTTACTTTGAATTCTGCGAATTGAACAGTACTCGATGAGAAAATAGAGAACAATTTCGTCCTCTTGGCAAACTCGAATTAATAGTGTAGACATGGTAACAAGATAGAGTTTCCCGGCGCTGAAGCTTCCACTAAAAGGGCAAAAGGTAAAACAAAATATGATAAAGTGGGTACTTGATTAAAGACAGTATGATCACTTTTTTGAAGAAGTAAGGAGGAACATACAAGTTTTCACCGGTTTTTTTCCCATAGATCTACTGATGCACTCGCCCGCTCTACTAAGGAACACATGCGAACTGAAAGTGTTATTAAAACGGTAACAGACAAACAGGACACTCCAAAAAAACAAAGCGATGTAGACAAAAGAATCTCGGCCGAAGCCCAAGGTTCCAGTGTTCCTCTGAGATATCCTGACAGAGGAAAAGGAAATGAAGTTGGTAATTCGGATGACGGAAGAGCAAAAGGACCACTATTGCGTGACATATCGTTGCGTGACGCTTCAGGTAACGAGGACTTGCCCCGCCGTGACAAACAATCGACTGTAGGCGAATACGACCGGACGCGCGATAAACTTCCGAAGGCGAAAGGATTCGAACATTTAGCAGTTGATTCTAATGGAAATAAGAGACCCACGAATGCTGCTTCTTTCTCTTCGTATGAAAAAGGCTACACTTCTGAAGCGCGCTCTTCGCCGTATCCCGCCAACGAACCGCCCACTCTAGTTCCGTATCACAACGCTTTGCCTCCAAAAACTTCTTCAAATACGACGCACTCAAATGTCCCATCGACTATGCCGAAACTCACCCCTATTGCGCCGCGCATAAGTAATGATTCACCACTGACTGTGCCTCATTCATCCGAGTCTGAGCATAAAAGTTCTTCGTATGCAGCTTGGAGGCCAAACTATACTCATCTCTCGAATTCTGCTCCAGTCATGACGAGTCATGGTAGTACTGTGTCTTGGACCGCCAATTACCCTGGGGTGAAGCAAGCCTCGGGGGATAAGACAGAAGAAAACGGTTGGCGTGCTAAACAACCCACTAGGGATGAACGTGATCAGAATTGGACAAGTGGTTATGAAAATGCTCAGAAACATGCTGCGAGGAATTTTTATTCAATGCAACCATGGGACCGACAGGCTTACTACGGAACACTTCCACCGCAATTGCGCGCCAGTGGCGTGACGGATAAAGGTTTTGGCGGGAAAGACGTTGAAGAAGATTCGCGGGATGTGTTACGTGATTCGTCACGTGATTCGTCACGCGACAGTATGACCTCCGCTGAGCATCTGCAAGCTAAACTTACAAAAGCCACTTATAAGTTCGGGTCAGGACAGTCGAGCTTACGAAAAGAAAACGATTTTGGCGGTGGTAAGATTCCGATAGGTGCCAACAACGACGATTATCAGAGAAGCCAGCCGTTTAGTAGTCGGAACGAGAAGTCGGTTGTGGGAGAGTACGTAAATTACAATAATAAAAGTGAAGATGGGAAAGGAAGTAACTTTGTCGTTGTGAATAGCAAGGAGGGTTCTTTCCGACTCTCAGTGGAGAGACGTGAGGGAAACCAGAAATACCCGAAGTATGAAGTCGTTAAGACTTCTAGAATGGAAGAAAACAGACTCTCGAGTAGTTATTACAATAGTCACGATAGCCGAGACTTGAATGACTCATCTTTGATTGGGATTCCGCGCGCGGAGCTTAAATCGGAAAATGAAAAGGAGGGCGTTGATCGTGCGAGGACCGTTGATTACTCTCGCGGGAAAGACCAAAGTTCTTACAAAGAACACGCGGGACGGAAGTCGGATTCTCGCGAACTTACGTCAGTGGGCGACGGCAAGAAGAACAATGACCGTAATAACAATAGCACTTCCCTGAGTGGGTTTCCTTTCTTAAAGTGTAACACAGTTCCGAACGGTGAACAAGCAAGATATGTTGAGCGTAGCGGACCTTTACGAGATAAAGTATTTGTTCCTCCGAACGCCACGTTTGAAATGTACGAGAGAAGGGAGCAGGAAATGGAGAAAAATGGCTTCAGGAAGTCCGATATGGCCACAGCATTTTCTAGAAACTTAGTTGAGAGTAATCGTTTGTCGAAACCAGCCGAGGAAGGAGTGAAAAGGACTGAGGAGAGGAGAAACCTTCCAAGGCAAGATGATACGAAATCAAAGTTGCCCACAGGGCGATTTGAAAGCGAAAAACGGGCTGAACCAGAGGAAATTACATCGGATAATAGCGATGATAGATCGAGGCAGTTGTCTAGGGAGTCAGCTTCTCCGGATAAAAGAGCTCAGCTTCGGGTTCAGCAGTCCTCTGATAAGGTAGCAGTGTCTTCAGCAGCTGGTGATGTTCGACAGCGTCGGCTGTCCTCCCCCTTATCCGAACAGAGGAACACCACCGCGCCATCGACCGCTTACGGAGCCTCTATGGCGCCTGGTCTTCAAAGTAGGAGAGCAGCAAATGGCGGCAGTGAAGGGCATTCACGGGAGTCCGCTGTAGAATCCAGTTTGTCAGGCTTAGGAAACCAGGCAGCCGCCCAGTTTCTTAGAATGGACGGTGGTGCTTTTCCCAACCCTTACTTTGCTTCAATGCTGGCGGCACCGCAAGGTATGCCGGAAACGCCATTCCTGGTGCTGGATCCGTCAATGTACAGTGGGATGTACCGTGCACCCATGATGGAGGCTGCCGCACCCGGAATGTTCCCACCTGGAGCCTTCGCTGACCCAGTAACAGGATCAATTATGGTTCTTCATCCAGAGAGTTATGTTCCCGTTGGTAAGGTCATAATTCTTACACAAACGAAAAATGAGTAACTGAAAACTTCTCTGTTCGATAGCAAATCATTGTATGGCAAAAAGGTGATGAAAATAGACATATTTATTAGCTAGATGACACCTTGATGTAACACCAAATTCCCTTGACCAATTTACGATGAAACTATGGAAACAAGGAGAGAGAGAGTTATCAATCAGATCTTGAGAATGCGCAAGCCCCACTTCCGGCTTACGGTAACTTCGAGGAATTTCAGGTTGTTTTGTTGGTTGTTTAATTTTATTTATTATTTGTTTCTTCAAGAGAGGATTCACATGCCACTCGTCCCCCTCCCCTCCCCCCCCCTCCTGGTGAAGGGGAGCAAGGATATTCGTGTGTTATTAATTTTCAAATCACTTGATTTTACGCTGGTTTGGCTGATCTCATCTCCTTAGAGGGAGTTATGTTGGGACAATGGGTTGGGATTCATTTCGATCTAATGTTTCTTACACATCAATAAAATATGGTGTTTTGTTACTTGTTTCGGCGTAGCAGTGAATCTGATTTCATTTCGAAAGTCAGTAGCAGGAACAAGTATAGTAACCAAAGGTGTCTTTAAAGTGTTTTGAATTTCTTTCTTTGGGTTTCGGCGAGGTAAGTTTGTTTGTTTGTTTTTTTGCTTTTGTTTAGTCGCAGCCGAGAACGCGGCGTTTATGATGGATCCGCGGTTGCACGGAATGTGGCCACATTTGGACGAGGCCCAGTGGCAACAGTTCTGGCAAATGATGCCGGCGTACCAACAACAACTAAAACAACAGCAACTTCATGAACGAAGCAAACAAGAGTTGCTGTTCGGTAAACAAGCTTCTCAGTTTCCTTTTTCGGCTTATCCGTTCTACTATGGTGACAAGCCCTTTGATCCACAGCGCAAGGTACTAATCAAACGTGTTTTGTCTTTTTTTTTGTTTTTGTTTTTTACCCTTTAACTCCCATGAGTGACCAAGACAGAATTTCTCTTTACAATACCATTTCAGTATCAAGCAGACAAGTGACAATGAGAAAGGAAGATTAGTAGATCTAATACCAAATTCTCCCAACTAACTACGTAAGAATGGTACAGCAGACAGTAAGGAGAATTACTTATGAGATCTTGGGGAGTTAAAGGTTCAATGACATGTTTCTCATGTATTTCTTTTTTGTTTTTAATGTTCAAGATCCGTAGCTTAGTCATTGTAGGGTTCATGAGTCTACGTCGTGATATTTTGATGAATTTATTTGATGCTGAGTAGCAAAATGACCCCTTGACCCTTTAGTTCTTAAGAATGATTAGCATCTAAATTTCCCTTACAGAAGTGATCACAAACTGAAGGAGCTATCGTTGTAAAACAATTTCTCCTTGTCGGTACCATAGGAAATGTATTAAGAACAGTAGGGAGAATATGCATACTGATGTTAGAGTGTAAAGTAAAAGAAAAGAGGGAAGCCCAAGCATCGAGGATGATTTAGGTTGAAGAAGATTGTTAAGGATAAAATTGAAATTTTTTCATGCTTGAACTGAGCCACAGTTTGATGGAAACGTAATTTCATTTTGGTGTTGCACCATTTTACCCACATAAATTAAAAAGGCCTTGCTTTCAATCAAGACAATAATTTTCTCTTGATTCAACTCATTTTAAAGCTGGCTTAAACCGGACATTCCCCTCACGCCGATAAAAGCCAGCCATTAGAACCGCTTAACTACTGCTAGCGTGGCTGTTTTTACCACTCATGTTTCTTGTGTTACCGCCCGTGTGTTACGGATTCCCTAAAGCGAAAACACACTTGTTCCTTCAACAAAGTTTAAGACGCTCTTCTAATAACAGCTGTTGTTTAATTACTTCTTTAGGGTGAAAGCCAGGAGGGAAAGTCTACCAGCCAGCAACAAAAAATCCGGGATGTAAAGCAGGAACAACCAGAAAGTCAATCCAAAGAACCAGCTGCCAGATCGAAGCCTGAAGCCACCGCACCACAAGAACACGCGCAGCGCATGCCTGTGTCACGTGACAGTGAAAGTCACGTGATCGGTCAGCAGCAGGAGACGTCCAATCCGCGTGAAGAGAAAACGGCTTTAAACAACCGCTGGCTGAAAGAGGTCCACCAAAAGCTCACAGAGAAGCAAAAAGCTGTTCAAGCTAAAATAGATGACCAGGTAGAAGTTTCTGTAAGGGTGCTTGGTTGCCACAAAATAAAGAGTGGCTGTGGAAAGGTCAAAATTAATTTTTTTCGGAGAGAAAAGCATCGCTGGTCACTGTAAGAAAAAAGCGGTGAAACGTTTGCACATATGTTTACAAGGCGGTCTGTGATCTAGCGTTCTAAGCCGGATTGTTTAAAACACGATGAACCTAACCCAGGGTTAGTGTAAATTTTTGAATTGACTTTAATAGCTCTGGAAAGAGATTTTTCTTTTGTATTTTTTTCCAGTTAGTCTCGAGTCATTTTAAGAGAAGATCCAACAAAGCCTTGACTTTTTAACGCGCTCTTCTACACGAGAAATCAAAGCCAAGGTTAACTTTTAATCCCAGATTAACGTTAACCCCCTTTCGAACAACCCAGCCCTGGCTGTCAGAACCAAATTGTCCCCTTAAGACAGGTGTGGCTCTAGAACTTTGGCAAAGTTGTATTTGAACAAAAGAAAAGAAGGATGTTTGAGGCGGGTCAGGACCGGGGGCCAGTTGCAAATGTCAGTTAAGTTGCATTTGGTGTGGCTAGGGTGGGGAAATTATATGTCAGTTTTGAATTTTAAAGGTAGACTTTACAGGCGCCTTGTCATTTTGTTTATGTAATTTCGGGATAAATCTTTCTCCGCAGGAACAGCTCGCCAAACAAATTAAAGATTACTTATCACTCGATCCGGCTCAGTTTCCATTTTCGGGATCTCAGTCCTCGTTTTTCAGAGATTTTGCAAAGGTTAACCTAACAGTTCCGGTGACTACCACTTCCTCTCGGACGCAGGAAGTTAGTCGTGATAGCGCCTCTCCAAAAACTGTTTCTGCCGCCGTCACGTTGTCCAGCTTGGAAAAAGGGCGCGGCGAAGAATCCCAGAGGGCCGCGAGAGGCACACCTCCTATAAAGACTGACCAGAACGGCGTTGTGGACCGCGTCAAATCCCCTAGGCCACACCCTTCTGCAGAGGCAGTCATAACTAAAGAAATAGGTATGACTTTAAGACTACAGATTATTTTACTAGCGATGTATTTTTGATTTGTAAAAGGTTGGTGTTCTTGATATCATATGAAGAGAAGACGTTTACTGTTTCTTATGTTACCCTACCGACGCAGCACCACAGTTTCTTTAGAAACATACTCCCTTTATTACTGTTTGAGGAATTCAGTTCAAGAAGGAGGTCTGGTGATCAGTTCTTGAAATCAGCCTTGATTCTTTCTTCTCCTTTTCACCCTGTAGTGGAAACTCCACGAAGATTAGAGGCACAACCCAACCTGGTGGGTGAGAGGGTTGTATCGCGAGAAAACCGTGAAGCTCCCGCGGGACAGATTCCCTTACAGTTTCCACAGAAGATGATGACATATGAAAATGTTTCATCTGAACGGCTTGTGAACGAGAAACCTGACCTCGATTCGGGAAGAGGGAGGCTGGAAGACTCATATAGGGCTCACGATCGTGGACTTACTGCAAGCTACAACGAAATTAACCGCAATGTCTCCGAAGAAGACTTGGCAACAAACTTGGAAACTCACTTGTCGAGAAGGAAACACTGTCAAAGAGTTGACTCTTATGGAGAGTTGAATTCCTTTGCCAAAACAGACTATGATCGAGGTGAAAGGGGACTGCGCCTGGCTGAATTTACATTTCGAGAAAGTTTGGACTCATTGGAGGATAATAGGGGTAATCTTCGAGCCTTGATGACACGCGAGAAAATATCACCTTCCCACCAACTGGATAGCGATTCTGAGTTTGAAGATGACGACTTTAACGCCAAGTGCGAACTTCGTAGAATCGCTTCATCTTTTGTTCCGCTTCAAACCGACAGCGAAAACAAAGAGAACTCCACGATCTTCTCGCTCAGGCCGTTCAGATCCGAAGCCGAACGGAGAAAGATACGAGAGAATATCGATCGCCTTCGGTCCATGGCAAAACGGCGGAATAGTAAAGACCGAATTACTGTGTTCAGTCGTCGGAAAGATCTTCGGAGTCCGACGACGATTTTGAACAGTGTGACGAGCGCTATCAGCGATGTAGCGGGGGTGGAGTCTGTGGAAAAAGAAATGCGGATGAAATTAGCGGAGTTACAAAAGAAGTACAGGGAGAAAATGAGAGAACTTGCCCGACTGCAACCCAAATATGGGTATGTATATTCGATGTTACTAAAGAAACGATCAAGTTGGAGTACGAATTCATTTCAAAGATAATTCCTTCAAAACACTTTTTACCTAGCCCTTACTCTCTAAAGGTTTTCTTTTAAATCCTCTGTTTTAACTGGGATTTAGTTGTCTTGTAAATCAGTTGCGAGAATTCGTTTTCATTTCAGCAAGGTATCAGCTGGCTAATAGGTTTTTTTTTTATTGTCATTTCCTGTTTCCGGGATGATGTATTGATGTTGAAGAGATTAAAAACGTCTTAATCCCCACGATGAAGATTATCCTTCAAAAGCCAAGTGGCCACACACTAGGGTTTAATCGCCACGGGCTTTTAGTTTGTTACACTAGGTCTGTTGAACATTACTTCATCGCGTGGCATTGCGTGATGAAGATACCACTGTAGGACTACTTTGTAACACGCTCAGTATCGGCAGATTTCACACTTACCGTCTTCGTTGCCTTTTCGCCATCCTTATCAAAAGTAACTCTTTGCATTATACTGAACTGTTTACCTTCATTACAGGGCAGAAGATGGAAAATCGACCCCAATTAAAAGAGGCCCTGGAAGACCCCGGAAACGGAAATACTTCGGCGCAGGTTCCAAGGGAGACAAGACGTCCCCAGTACCCACGGGCGGATACAACAAAGAAGACGAAGAGCACCAATCAGTCATTGAGGCCCACTCCCCCGATAACGCTGGTCCAAGTGACACTGAGAGCCTGGTGTCTAAGGAAAGCGAACCTCCTAAGAAGAAGAAGAAAAGAGTCAAACAGAAGACTTCGACAGAGCGGGATAGCCGCGGGTCAGCGCCACCTTCCCGCGGGTTGAGTCCAACAGAGTTTCCTGTAAGTCAGATGATGTTTTCATAGTTTTTCCCTTTTCCGCCTGTGTTAATTTCCTTCCGTTGTTTTTTCCCTCAGGATTTTCCGGCACCTGCTGTAAAAAAAAAGAAATCTCGCAAGCCAACTGCTGCGGATGAAGAGGTTAGGAAATTAATGCCGCTCTCTGCTGTAAGGAGAGATGTTTAGCATAATTGTCAAAGCCTGCCCCGGGCGCCCGTTAGAAAAACGAAGCGCTCTAGCTATAGTGTCAGCAGCGGAGGTGTGAAAAAACTAGAGTGGTCTGGATCGGGTCCCGTAGTGTTGCTTACGCAACCTAACTCAGATCTCCTTGGTTTTTCTCCATGTCGATACTATTTCGTTCCGTTTTACCGACTGATTGCCTGCAAGACCTCCTGTGATGAATCGAACCTCAGTGTAAAAAATCTCTTTCTTTTTTTTAATTTAAATTTCACTTTTCCCCACCCCCCCCCCTCCGTGGTATTTTTGTTTTGACGCGTGGCGCGAGTGTTTTTTTTTTGTAATTTAGCCAATTACGTCGGGAAGCTTTGGCGTATCATAGTTTTTTTTTCTCTGTACGGAGTTTAGTTGGTTGTTTTTGAGTTTATGTTCACGCTAATTTTTAATACTTCAGTTTGGAATTTTTACGAAGTTTAAGGAGTTTTATTCAAACCGAATGTTGTGATTATTTTGATTACATTTTTTCTATGGAGTTCGGAGTTACTTATTTCGCTATTGGATTTTTTACCCCAAGCGCCCTTTCAAATTTAGCAGTTGTACGGTCTACCGACTGAGCTACAAAGAAGTTGATGGTGAACTAGGCTATGTTAGTTGTTCCACTCTATGTATGATGCTTAGATCAGCAATGTACGAACTACAAATTTTTAGTAAACTGTAGTCAGGATAACGTGTCCTAAATGTTTCTTTACAGTCTGACCTACTGCTTCCCAAAAACAAATCCATTAATACGAAGAAGAGAGAAACTGGTGCGGGCAAGCGACGTAAAGGATCGCCAACGAATGATACCGTCGACCAAAAGAGCGTTTCACAACTACCAAATGGTAAATAAAGTTCTTTTTCTAACTCATTTGTTTTCGCCATTTGTGCTTGAGACTTGTATGACACCACTCGAACTAAGAAATTCCATCTAATGACGTAGCTCATGTGAAGTTCTGGAGCTTTACGGTTGGCCGTTACTTGTGCGTTAGTATGAGCTAAACAGAGAGAACACACGATTGGTGGCCGAACACGTCAGTTTGCACTTTGTTCGGCGTTTGTCTCAACAAAGATTACGTATGCGCTTTTGAACGTATCTAAATGTAACTCTAAGAACTGGGATGAATCTTCCATTTGTTCTTAAAAAAATAAACCTTTCATTTTTCATAGCTGCCCGTGTACCCTCCCCAAAAGAACTCGAGAATAGCGCCGATTTTACCAAAGAACCAAAGACCCTAACCAAAAACACAAAGGCCAAGAAACCAAAACCGAAGAAACGAGCGAGACCGAAGCTTACCATTGAGGCTCCCGAAGTCTACGAAGACGATCGAACTGAGGAAGACTTACCGCCCGGCTGTGCGGATACGCCGTGCGAAACTCCGGGTGGTCCTTCACCGAACAAGGGCAAGAAAAGTAAGGCTGCAAACAAGAAACGAAAGTCTACTGCAACTACTCCTCCCAAAACAAAATTTGAGTTCCCGGAAGTGACGTCACAAGATGAAAGCTTCTCCGAAAACAGTAGTGTATCTCCAAACGATATTGCAAAAGAGGTTGCTGCCATAGCCGCCAGAAAGCAATTGGAGGCAGCGCAGAAAAACACCAGGGAGGCGTCTAGTGACGTTGATGACGAGGTGTTTGCGTCAAATCACGATGAACGAGATGGTTTGAATTTGTTGGCGTTTGCAAGCATCGATAAAACGGCGAAACGAAGACGATCTGACGCTCAGTCGCCCTCTGAAGACCTTTCGTTGAAGAAGAGAGGGAGACCCAAGAAACCCTCAGAGTCTCCGACCTTCGATTCAGGTAAAGTCAGTTAAAGTCAGTTAAAGTCAATTAAAGTCAGTTAAAGTCAGTTAAAGTCAATTAAAGTCAGTTAAAGTCAGTTAAAGTCAGGTAAAGTCAGTTAAAGTCAGGTAAAGTCAGTTAAAGTCAGGTGAAGTCAGTTAAAGTCAATTAAAGTCAATTAAAGTCAATTAAAGTCAGTTAAAGTCAGGTAAAGTCAGTTAAAGTCAGGTAAAGTCAGTTAAAGTCAATTAAAGTCAGGTAAAGTCGGTTAAAGTCGGTTAAAGTCAGGTAAAGTCAATTAAAGTCACTTAAAGTCACTTAAAGTCAGGTAAAGTCAGTTAAAAATATAAAACCCCCAACTTCCTCATATTAGTATGCATACTAAAAATACTGGTTTTCATTCGTTTGTAAACAATCAAGAGCTTCTTGGATTAGTTATCATTTCCTTCATTCTTATGATACCGACAAATCTTTTATTCAAAGTTGATATTAATAATATTAATAATATTATTAATAATATTAATAAGGAGATAATCGATGCTAGTCACTCCGAGGGCATAGATGGTTCAAGATAACGAATCTCATTTTTCATGTGCGCGATTAAAGTGTAAGACTATAGGAACCGAACAAAATTAGAGTCGAGTTTCTTTTGCGTTGTAAGCGATTTGTAAAGTCGCGTCACACTTCTCGAAATATCTTAATTATCTTTAGGAAAAAGCCATCATTTGGACGAAGCTTTGCTCTTCGAGTTAACAGTTATTTCCCGGTTTTATTTCAGAAGCCCTTGTAACGCCAAAGAAGAAGAAAAAGAAGAAGATAGCAGTTGATCAGGTAAACGTGTATTTTCTTGACTAGCGGCGGGGGATTCCTCTAAAGAACTTGTTTAACCCTTTACCGTACCACTTGGCTCGAGTACAGACCTTACTTATATTTTTAACCATTTATAATTTTGAGTCCACATTTATCTCATTTGCTAACGGCCTCATTTGGGGTTATCATTTCCCTAATACTCAATACTGTTGTGATTTCATTTAGGAATCCACGAAAGAGCCGAAAAAGAAAAAGAAGAAAAAGAAGAAAGAAGCTGTACCAAAAGAAGAAAGCGTCGAAGAGAAGCTTGAAGAACAGCCTCAAGTTGAACAAATTGAATTATACGTACCACAGGAAGAGTTTGAGATGAAGCTGCCAGAATCTTCTTCGGCGACCATAGACAGCGAGCAAGATGAAGAGGTGTTCAGATCGACCACCGAAATAAACAAGGAAGTTGGGACGGCCATGTTGGACTTCAGTACCTCCAGGGAAGGCGATGACGTCAAAGGAAGCACATCATCGTTGCTAAGCGATGAGTGGCAGCCGAGAAGAAGTGAGAGAATTTTTATCAACAGCAGCGTGACTACCAACTCTTGTTCCAGTCCTTTGTCGCCCGTTGGAAAAGGAAGCGAGTTTTCTTATACGAAGAAGGTGAAGAAAACATCTTTATCAAAAGGAGTAAGTGAACGATATGGATTTAGCGTTAAGCGTTAAGCTTGTGAGAATTTTTTCTTTCTTTAATCAGTTTTTTCAGGATCGATCTCAGTCAAAGTTGGAGAATTATTTTCACTGATATCTAAGTGTCCGTCTTTTTATCCTTTAGAAAACCAGCCGATCGGGATCTCAGGGCGAGGAGGAACTAGGAGAGAACGACGTCACACAAAAATCGAAGACCAAAACGAAAAAGAAGAAAGGACCTGGGAAAGGAAAGAAAAAGAGTTCTTCAATAACAGCCGACTTTGAAGATTACGAACCTCTGAAAGTACCCAGGAGAGCGCGCTCCAAGGCGAGGCAAACGGTAAAATACTCCCCTTTTCATTGTGTGTAACAGTTATTTGGTTCGAGGCTTTAGTAAACTCGACTGCATTTCACTTACTATCCCTTTTTTATTATTATTATTATTATTTGTGGAAAGGACATTTCTGATCAGTCTTAATTTGTCTAACAGTTTGATTTCGATGACGCTGACGAGGAAGAAGGCGAAGATCTTCCAGAAGACGAGGAAGCCCAAGAGGAAGGTGAAACGGATGTGGAGATCAACGTGATTGACAAGGTGCCAACAGAAGAGAAAGCTGAAAGTCCGCAGGTTGCTCATGTCGAAAACGCGGAGGACGGGAAGCCAGAAGTGGAAGTCGAGAGGATGGAAACGGACAAGAACAACGATGAGGAATTAGATGTGGAGATGAAAGAAGACCAAGTGGCTAAGGAGGAGAATTCTCCAATGGAAAGTAAACATGGCGAAGTTGTCCTCAAGAGCGAAGAGAAAAATGGTATAGAGGTTAGTAGAAACGTTGCAGATGTCATCAAACCTCTATAAATGTAGCTGGCTGGTCTTTGAATGGCTGATTAGAGGGCTCCAAAATAAATATTTTTGTCTTCACTCCTTCTGAGTAACACAGGACATCAACAGTCTTTCCATAGCCTCCTGTCCTGTGCATTCCTCTCTAGCTGATACCAACTCTTGCCTATGGACTTGATCTTTGCGTCTAGCAAACTTTCTGAAGAAATAAAGTAAAAACTCTCCTTAATGAGTTCGTGAAAAGTAAACGAAGGATTAGCGAGAAATTGATGTCGCTTGTATTGCGTACTGCAATGACACTTTCGTAAGAAATGGCTAAGAACGTGCAAGAATTAGGTTAGAATTTTATCTTTTTGTATTGTTATTGTTTTCTTATTGTATTGTATTGTTTTTTGGCATAGGATTGTAGAGAGAGAGAGAGAGCGCGCGCGCTGTTCGATCGAGTGTCGTAAAATCAAAATCAGCCAATCAAAAGAAAGGAAAATATCCTTAGGAACCTATGAGAACTCAAACAAAAACCAAGACATATGCCCAAAGCGTGGGAAAACGCGGGTGACCAAGTGGTAATTGGTTTAAGTCAGTTTTGCACCAAGACAGTAGGGCGAGATTTTTGGACCAATCGGAGAGCGAAGTAAAGCAAAACCAATGCAATCTCAGATTACTTTCGAAACTCAATTGGTAATGGTTCTAAAAAATTCAGTGTTAGTGAACGTATCAGTCACGTCAGTTGGAGGAGCAGTTGTACCTAAAACGGATCTCTTAGTTTGAAATAACCTCTTCTTATTGATATATTCTACAGGAAACTGTCAAGGATAATGAAAGGAAGGAACAGGAGGAAACTGCTCCTCTCGAACGGCCCGTATTACCAGGTTTGTTGCTTTATCTTTATCGTTGGCTTTTCTATTCTGAGCTTGACGATGATAGAGTTGCTTTGTATCTTAAATAAGAGAACAAAACAAAACGAACTTCTGATATCAACACTCTTGAATAATCTATGTTGCGATATATTTCTCACAGAAACTACATAGACATATTAGTTTTGTTTCTAAAACAATTGCAGCGGGAGTTTAACTCTTTCTTTCTTTCCCATCATAGTTGACGAGCGTTTCACGTTTGTGGTCGACGAATTAGTAGAAGGGACAAAATTGTTACTTCCTGTGGACTTTGTGTTCTATCCTGGACGCATTAGTACATTCAATGAACCTGACTTGTAAGTATGTCATAATTAAGAATGTTTTGGATGTCCACACTTCTTTGTCCTCAGGACATCTTCGGGAGTTGTCGGCAAATTTTTGAAGTCGTGATATCTTCGGTAATTTTCGTAGAGATGGAACGTCTTGGTTAATCAAGGCAAAATGAAGAGAAAGAAAATGTAAGCGCTAAACTTAAAAGATTTTGCCTAGCTGAGGAAGATCAAAATTAGTCAGCAACAAAGCTCTGAGATTTAAATTTTAATCCTTATCTGTGAGTCCGAACGATGTAGCAAAAAGGATAAAAAAAAAGACAGGCTCTAGACCGACAGTATCGTTGTATTTTCAGATTCGGAGTGATACTTGATGGTGAAAGAGGTAGAAGACCTCACTGGAAATCAACAGAACAACTCCTTACAGAGGCGGTAAGGATATAGAATAATCACTGTGAATCATGTTTTAATATGTGGAAAGATCCCATCTGAAAATAATGTCCGTTGACAAGAGCGGTTTCTGTCGTCAAGATGCGCAAGTTGTCTCTCATGTTAAGAGACTTGGAGTGCGCTCTTCCCGTGACACCTTGCACTTCTTTGTAGTTTTGGTTTGGATTTATCCTTTATCTCTAGTAGTGTGGTGTCAATGATGACAGGATGCCCGCATAAGGTGAGTTAAACGGACCCCCATGAGTGACTAAAACAGAATATCCCCCTACAATATCGATACAGCATCAAGCAGACAAGTGATGAGAATAAAGAAAAAATATCAGTTAAGGGATTATAAGTTGATTCACTAACGAATTCTCAGAACCAACATTACAAGAATTGTATGGCAGACAGTAAGGAGAAATGCTGTTGATATCCGGGGGTGAAAGAGTTAAGTAAAGATTGACCCTTCTCGTAACAGGTCAAGGACATTCAACCACCCGGGCCTGAGTTTCTTTCCATTGGCACCCGAGTGTGTGCACACTGGAGTCCGCAGTACCGCTGCTTCTATCCTGGAAATGTCACCGAAGGTAATTGACTCACTCGGAGATTTTGTTAAAACGACCATAGTGCATCTCAGGTTTGAGTTGTTTCATATAAAAAAAAACTTCGACTGTTTTAGCTAATAAAAAAGATTAGGACGTACGTATTTACTCGGCATCGAAAAGCATTAAAGATCATCTTTTTACTGAAGCTTTTTGAAATACACCTCTCAACCGCTTTCGTCTCTTTATTGTTTAGCTCCACCGGATGAGAAGGAAGTGGATGGAAAAATCTGGATTGAATTCGACGATGGCGACAGTGGTTTCTTTCAGTTGGATGAAATTAAAAGGATACGTCCTGATTTTCCTGTTGAAGGTGAGGTCGACCCTCCAGTTTGTTAGTTAAATAGAATACACTCCCCCTATGGGGAGTGGCAATTAACGTATGTATCTATGTATGTGTGTGTGTGCGTGCGTGCGTGCGTGCGTGCGTGCCTGTCTATGTACCCCCTCTCACATCTGGCCATTACTTTGTTTCCTTCAGAAGTGGATCCCACTCCCCCTCTGCCAGAGAAGAGGCCTCGGTCCAGTTCCCTGGGAGCAGCTCAGGCCATGGCATTAAAGGATGCGTCTTCCAGAAGACTGAAAGCTGAAGAGAATACTTCTGAGTTTTCATCCGGGAACGAAAGTTCGGGTGAGGTGTATGCGAAGCGACGGAGATTGAGAGGAAAAAGGAAAAGTAAAGATGACTCGTGGCTTGTTTCTAAACGTTCAGAAAACAATGCTATCGCCAAGGACAGTGGTGCAACTCGAGGTAGCTCGTTTAGAGGGAAAGTGAAAGTTCTCGAAAAGTCTGACTCTGAGATCGTTGGATCTGCTTCAAAAGTGAAAGATAACAACCAAAGTGGAGGCGACTCTAAAGAGGGTAAAGTTGCGGATGCATTAAAACAGAAGGTAAACAGAACGCGCGGGAAAACAGAAACGAAAGTAGAGAGTAAGGAAGCGGCCAAAACTGCGGAGAGCTCTAAAAACGACTTAGCAAGCGTTGCCTCCGCGGAACTGAAGGAATCAGAAAAAAAGATACACTCGAGCCACTCTTCTCTCAAAGCGGATGGATATGAGAATAACACCAAACAATCAGCTGATAAAGTGGCAGATAACACAGCGGAGTCTTCTGACCAAGGGGAGGACAGCGAAGCTGTATCGGATGCAGACACTTCCAAACAAGAAAAGGGATCTCGCGCTGGAGCTAAAAGCTCCTCAAGGACCTCTGAAATGGACCTCAGAAAGAGGTCCCTTAATTTGAGCCTCAACAGCTCGTTTCGCTCTTCACGCACCGAAGGAGAAAGCCCGACGCGTGATGCTCCGTTCACTTCACAAGACGAGGATAGTGAATCTTACAGCGACACGTTTGATGAGAGTCCCCTTGTAGAGAACAAACCTTTTCAGGTGAGCAAACCATTTCTGATTCTCTGCATAAAGCTAAAGAAATCCAAATAAAAAAGTCTTGTAGAGAGTGCTTTCCTTCAAGTACCAGAAGCCCTCAATTGCTTCACTGCGCTCTGTGAATGTTCATGGAAACTCGCACCACCCTCTCAGCCAATCAAATACAAACCAAAGCCAATCGAGAACGTAAGGCCGTCTCTAGGTTTCTCGCGACATTTTCATGGGCCATTTGATTACTTTTGAAAGTAATCCGTGATTGTGTTCGTTTTGCTTCACTTCGCTCCGTGATTTGTCCAAAAAACTCGGACCACTCTCTCAACCAATCAGATACAAGAATAAAACCAAACACGTCCAGACCACTCGTGTTTTACCGCGCCTAGGAAAGTTTGATTAGTTGCACTCTGCTTCTCTTTGGTTCTTTGGGTATTTTCCTTTCTCCTGATTGTTCGTTGTGATGACTTTCAGTTTGGTTTTATGACACTGAATTGAAAAGCGCTCTTTGTCACTTAATCGAGAAAAACGTTACATTCAAAAACAAAATAACTCGACAAGAATGACTGTTAAACAATTCACTAGCGATTTTTGTTAAAGTTTTTGTCTTTTTACTTTCTGTTGCATTTTAGCCTCGGCTTGGGAGACGGCGTCGTTCGGAATTGGATCGTCTGCACGTAGATATGAAATTTTCAGGTTAGTCAACATTTTAACTATATTCAATTCACTCGTTTATTTATTTGTCAAAGTAATCTAATTTCTCCTTACAATATCACCCCTGAGTCACACATTAAGGTCAGGAGAATAAAGGAAATGATCAGCAACTAAAGAAGCTATTGATGACTTTATAAATTGTCCTTGTCAAAACATTCGCAAACGTGTAGAAAAGAGTATGGAAGGGTTAAGCTGACGGTAATGTTCCATTTGTTGTAGGGCCTTTGTGGCAGTGGTCCGGAAGAAGTTCCCAGAACAAAAGAAAAGGAAAAGGAAAGAAGACCTTCTACAAGGCTATTGTGAGAGGAGACGAAACGATTTGTGTAAGTGACACTGCGAGCCTGCTTATTTGAGGATATCAACAAAGTTGAAATGGTAAATTGACCACCGTTACGATTATTAAAGCTGACGTTTCGAGCGTTAGCCCTTCGTCGGAGCGAATAGAGGAATTGTGGGTTGAGTATGCTTTTAAAGGCAGAAAATGGAGCTACGTTATTGGTGGGAACATGGCAATGAGAAAAACACGAATAAATTATAGTGGAATGAAAATTGATCAACGAATGCTTTTCATTCCACTAATTTATTCGTGTTTTTCTCGTTGCCATGTTCCCACCAATAACGTAGCTCCATTTTCTGCCTTTAAAAGCACACTCAATCCACAATTCCTCTATTCGCTCCGACGAAGGGCTAACGCTCGAAACGTCAGCTTTTATAATCGTAACGGTGGCCAATTTACCATTTCAACTTTGTTGATATATTCAAATTATTTCGTTACCCCCACCGACGCAGCCCCAAACAGTTTCTTTAGAAACTATCAGCCTTTATTCATTTGGTTATTTGAAGGACTGGAACAACTTTAAATTAGCGTTGGATCGTTTGTCTGTTAATTTGTAGCGATTTTTACCAGAGTCATGTTTGTCTTCTGAATCCTACAACTTTTTCTTCAGGTAAATGATTGTGCGGTTTTCATGTCCAACCCAACCAAGAATCTCAATCTCCCGTATGTTGGCAAAATCGAAAGCATGTGGGAGGGGTGCGGCGGGAACATGGTTGTTAGAGTCAAGTGGTTTTATCATCCTGAGGAAACGAAACCAGGCAGGAGACCTACTGATGGCAAAGTAAGCATTGCTATTAAACGGTCATACACTAAGCTGAATTATAGACGCGTTTTGATAGGTTATTTCTTAGGACGTATTGGAGGACCGAGGCTTAGATGGCGTTTCCAACTTTTTTGCTCCTTTTACCCTAACACGAAACAAGTAGATTCCTTAGGGTTGTACGACCTTTGAACAACAGATAACAGTTGACGTTTTTGTATTTGATTGGCTAAGGGGATGATACGAATTTTCCAGACCATTACAGAGCGCAGTAGGACAGTTTTCAATTGAAAGTCGAAAGTAAACCATAGTTACATTGGGTTTGTTCAAGTTAGCTCTGTGATTGGTCTAGAACATTCGCGCCATATTCTCAACCAATCAGATGCAAAACTAAAATCAATCGCGGCTGGTCTGCCTCGTTTTCCCGCGTTTTAAGCAGTTTACCCGGTTTTACTTAGAGTTCTCACTGGCCAATGTTGAAGTCTTGCGTTCTTATTGGCCAATGTTGCAGTCAACCTTTACACTGATTGGCCGTTGCGATCAAAAAAAAAAAAAGAAGAAACTGCTCCAATCTAAAAACAATGGTCTCCTCTTGACACTCAAAAAGGAAATGATTGTTTCTCCTTGCTTGCAGCAATCTTTGTACCGCTCGACCCATGTGGATGAAAATGACGTACAGACGATCTCACACAGATGTGAAGTGCTCACTCCTGAAGAATTCAAAAGACGGTCTCAAAGCCTCGATACGCCCGGTACCAGGACTTCTCTGTCAGATCGCGTGTTCTGCTGTATCGGCAGCTACGATCCAAACAGCGAGACATTGCAGACGGAACTGTGATGTACGTTGCACAATACAGTGTGACGTTTGCCTAAAACTGTGGTGTCTGGAGTCTAGCGGAACGCCGCGTGCGTTGTGTTTTCCGCGCGATGTTATCTTTCGTTTGTGTTCGGCATGAAATTAATATGCTGCTATTGGTTGCCGTTCTGGTTGTTGTTAGCCGATCAGAGGTGCTCCGAATTCTCGTGAGGTAAAAAGACCAAACCAAGTTGTTATTTGATGAAAAACTGGCAGTAAAGTTAGGGAACAAATCATCACTTCTCTATCCAAGTGGTGGCAATTGTTCTGTCTTCGGTAGGGCCATAGTTTCCACAGGTTAAAAATCATTCAAATGAGGACTAGAGAATGATAAGCTGTTACTGACAGTAATATTGGATCTACATTAAAATCGAACTTCTCAGGCGAGGAAAAGAGGAGAGTGTGATAATTACCTCGGTTACCCCTTTTTAACTGATCCTCCCTTGTGTGCAGCAGTCTTACGCAGACTTGAACGACGAGACTGCTGATGATGTTCATCAGTCTAAGGTGGTGTTCTATTTCCTTGTGGTAATCACGTCGAGATGTCTTCCTTGTACAAGCTATGATAGAACGATATAATCACGGGGCATAACTCCCTTCACTTGATCCTCTATCTCCGTTAATGCGGGCAGTCTTTCCAGCCTTAAAATTTTAAAGTGCATGAAATTTTTGCGAGGAAATCGCGCTTGTTTCCTCACGTGTGGTTCTTAGGGAAGTACGCGAAATTCGTGTTGCACCATTCCACTTAGGCAATTTTATCTTTCGTTCGCGCTTTCTTCCTATTTCGTATTAGCTTTTAATCTTGCTTATTCCCCGATACGTACTCAAACGCAGACGAAATGACTGAGAATTCTCCTCTCTTCTCCTGGAGATTTAAAATCATATTGTGTGCAAAAAAGTATCTAAAATATTTTTTATATAGAAGTTGTGGAGATAGCAGCCAGCTGGCTAGTAATGTTGAATTTTGTAACGTAGGTTGACTGTAAGAAAATAGTTCATGTTTGTAAATATGTGTATAGTCCTCTTCTTAAGATATACTTTTGTAACATAACTCAGTCCCATGCTCTCTTGGTCAAATCTCTCGTTTATATTATACAGAGAAAATATAGTGAATATTTAGTTTTAGAATGAGAAATAAAGTTTTAGATTTTCTAGCTCTGTCGTTGTAATTGCACCTCGGACCGGGAAAAAAAGTTGTCTAGTTCCCATAATCTTGGGAAGAAAAACAAAAAACAAAAAAAACAAAAAAAAACGCATGCACACCAGCCCTACCCTCTTATCCCACCATTTCAGTAAAGCTGAAATGGTGCGTTCTGCTCTTAGCGCGCATTAATCGCCGAGGAGAGAGAAGAGAGGGAGTACGGTGGAATTAGGGTCCATGTTTGATTGCACATTGGTGCCGAGATTGTCAAGCAACTATTTTTAAAATTCAATACCTTTTGCTCGATCTTTCGCGGCTTTTGTTTTGGCTTTCAATGAAATGTGGCTCATCTCCCTCCTAGACCACAGCCCACTACCTCCCTCTTTCTCATTACGTCCCAGGTAATTCTCGTTCAACCCAGTCTGCTTTCTAGTGCCCAGGTCAAGGCAGTTCGAGCAGAACGTGCCCAGACCACCTCAATCCTTCCATCGTTGTTTAATATCAACTGAGAGAAAGGCATTTCTTAGAGATGTATTGATTGATTTTATAGTCTTGATTTCTGGAAACCGTTCAGTGCAATTCATTTAAACGTGTATGATTTATATCTCGAATAACCTTTTGACCTCTTAAATTGTCTGGCTTTTTAACTTCTCCCGTACAAATAACGCCACAGACGAGTACAAATATCTCACGGTATTTGTACTCCAGAGAACCGGTGAAACAGATTTGAAACATATTTCTGACGACGAAGAGTCGGAATAGCTGGCAATTGTAGATTCAAGTTAATTAGAGGAATCGAACGAAGAAAAGTTGCTAGACGACCAGGAAATTGAAGAAAATAGAAACAGCAACACGACACGTTCCGCTTCGCATACTTCTGTCACGCACTCCCCGTAAATGAATATCCGCGAAATTCGCCCGCACTGAAATAAAGATTTGGCGTGTTGGATGATAATTAACATATTAGGCATTTTGTCTTGTAGTATCGCTGAGTATTTTTACTCGTTATTTGCATTTTGACTTGCCCTACGGACTCGTCAAAATACGGCACAACTCGTAAAAATACTCAGCGATACTTCACAACAAAACGTCTAATAAGATATATTGATCACTAATTTTAGAATCGTCTGATTGCTAAACAATTTCTCTTTGTCATGACCCTAGGGAATGTAGAGAAATGAGTATAGAGAATATGAACGCTAATGTTATAGGGTGTAAGGGATAATCCGCTGTCTCGCTAATTCAGCGTTAATCATCGCATCAGTTGTCTGCTGATTAAAATCATGATAGGTGTCGCTTAACCCATTCCTTGAAATAAAACACAGATGAGTGTCAAGCGATGTAAAGAGAAATTTATACATCGATACACACGTCTTTATCATCAAAAGAAACTTGCAAATAATCAAAAGGCAATTTCCGAGCTCTGTAAACCTTCACTTTTAAGGTGAGGTAAAAAAGTGCATAACCTTTCTTGTGAAAATGAGTTTAGTTGCGTAAACTGATACAAATATTGTCTTCATCTCAGACAATATGCACTTACCGTAGTTTTGATACAAGGGCTCAAGCAAAGAACGATGGAAAAATAGACCGTTCCAATTGCCGGCTAGCTGCAAGCTAAAACTCAGCGTACAAAGAAACAAACTTTTCCTCTCTTTACCAACTGGTCTTTTAGCTTTGATGTCATAGAATGCAGAACAGATGTAATTTTTTGTACGTCTTTCAGGCGGTCGGAGGCAAATGCGGGGGGCGCGAAAAAAACTCCTCGGCTAACGCTAGCCTCTGTTCTTCCGAAAAGCGAAAAAAATTACGGTTGTTCTATAGGGTATGATGCCGCTACTGATAACAATGAAGCTTAGTCATCGGGCTTGACAATATTTCACAAATAATTTTAAACTTCACTCTTAACGGGAGACTCTTCAGTATAAGGGAGGCCAACAGGCCACCATAGCAACATGAAATTATTTTGAGTTGACGTTTCCAAATGGCTTAACGTTCTAATTTTTCGAGAAAGAGACCTCGCTTTTAGCTGTCCAGTGAAAGAATTCGTAACGAGCCCTAAGACTACTCCATAAACGGTCTAAATAGGAACGCACGATTAAAATCCTTTCTTCCTTTCAGTTGTGAATTAGTCATGTTAGATTGAATATAAGTTTCATTCAGAGATTTTGCTAATTTATCCTGAGGACGAAATTTAAAACTAGTGCAAAACTCCTTTAAAGAATCACGTTCTTTTTACTGTAATCTTTCACCTCGCTTCTCTATTGGAGAATTTTGTGAGAGCCATAATATTTATACAGTGTAAGAGAGGAGAATTTTCTTTCGTATGGTGTTGTTTTTTTCGTTCTAAGTTTACAGTTTATTTTCCCTTGAAAATCGGAAAGGCCTATTTCCAATTTTTCTAGTGAGAAACTGGGTGTCAACGACGGTGAAAGAAAGGATTCTGCGAGACAAAAGAGAAATGAGAGAGCCAAATACGACTTTAAACTAAATTTTTTATCAAATCGTCGGGTATACTGAAATATAGCATAGACCTTCCTTTCTGCGAGAACCTTATCACTTTTCAAAAAGTGCTTTGCCTCCACGCCCTTCCGTTGACTTCACCCAGTTCAGCTATTTCTGCGAGAATCTTCTTTCATCTTAAAGGGCCATTGAGTACACTGTCCGTATATTCTCGGGTGGAGTTAATTCCTTGCAAGTTTGGCCTGGCTTGCTATTGTTATTACCAGGAAATGACTCAAGCTAATAAATCATCATGTTTTTGATCCGGAAAGATTTTCCAAGTTGTCTAGAGCCTTCGGTAACGAGCAAATTTTGTCAGCGTGCAGAGGAATGCCAGGAATGTACTCACAGACTACCAACCACGACGATCCAAGAAAGCGATAGCGTTCGGAAATTTCTTTTCGTCCCTAGCCTTCTGGCTTCGTGCAGGGCTGAACGAGTTAAGTAACGTCCGACTGTGTTGCCTGATGGGCTGTTTGTGTCCTCTTTGTGCTGGAATTTACTTTTACAGTGAGATTTCCTTGACATCTGTGCGGAAATTTTTGGTCTCATGCGGCAGTTTAGCTTCGTACTTGACTGGTCATCGCTAACTCATATGACTCCGTGATGTATGGTGTTCTTCAACAGCCGGTGAAGAGAGCAGGGAAACCAACACCTTTGAATTCCTGAGCTTCAGTTTGCTAGCATCGTTTGCAGATAGTTTAAAAGAGGGAACGAAGTTGACATGGAACAGGATCCAAAGGCTGCAAAAACTTCGTTTTCCGGGACAAGGTCCCTTTTATTTTGGTGTAGACAACAGACAGAGAGTTACAACGATGTGAATGTGTATAACATGTCAACTTCATGGCGGGATGGTTTGGCGTTCTGTGCGATTATCCACCGTTACAGGCCGGATTTGATGTAAGTCTGGTCTCACGGGCCAGGGGTTTGTGTGCATTTTGTTCGTTACTGACCGGCCAATTGACTCAAGTTGATATGTTTGTCCTGGTGAAATGCATTACTGTTTTATTGTTTGACTAAAAATTTTTTTCCTCTAATTACAGAGAGTTCGAAAGGCTGTCCAAAGAGAACATCATGGAGAACAATGAGCTAGTAAGTTATATAATAGTGGGAGGAAACTAAGACACTCTCTTGGCATCGCTGAAAATAGATTTTTCATGGTACGATGACACTTGTTAAAATTCATGCTCTTGTGTTTCAATTATTTTCCCTTAATGGTGTCATAACAATTAGAATAGATGCTAGAAGCAGAGATAAGAAAATGTGCGCTTTATTGAAAAGCTAAACAAATATTGTTGTCAGAGATTTATGTGTCTCATTTCCGGCCGCGGCCATGCAAAGCATATAATTTTGACATTCTTGCAGCTAGGTACTAATTTGTCGCGAGGACCTTTTGTTTATTATACACAGACGGTTAGGTTTCATCCTAACTCATGTCGTTAGCATTGTTCATCAGATCGGAAGGCGTCACGTTATTGAATACATTTTATTTCGCGAGAGAATTGTTGAATGTTGATATAGGATTGTAAGAATATTTGCACCCTTCATTTTTTTTTTTTTTGCGTGACGCTTCGGAATGCAAATGCGATCTTTCATTTCCCGGCAGGGTTCTTGAAAGTTTTCATTTTCCGATAAAATTCAATTAAAGTTAAACGTGAAAGAGTTGGTGTCCTGGCTGCGGGCGTTTTAGCCGCTGGACGTTTGTGTCTTTTGTTTGATTTTGAGTTATAAAACGTCGGTAGAAATATTGTTGTTCACAAACGAACTCGAAGATCCAACCTTCTTAACCTTTTCAGACATAACAGATCCTAATTTACGAAGACCTGGTAATTTGCCAGCGGCTCTTTGAATTTTAAGAGACGATCCAGTTCTCATACATAATGGGATTCCGTGTCAGGTTTTTAGTTTTAAAAGGCACTTTCCTATTATTTTAACCGAATGGGGTCATCAATGATATTGGGTTATCTTCTTAACATATTAACAGCCTCTACCATTTATCAAAGTTTTTTTTTATCACAGATGCCTGCTTCGAATTCCTCCAAATGATTTATTGGAGTGGGTACAGAAATCTACTTTTGGGATTAATTTTTCCATTAAACAGTGACACAATACTGGCTAGCAGTATCATAGCTTGGATCTCATTCAAAGATGAACTCCTTTTGAGCTTGATGTGATTGCAGAATTAAGTTAATTAAAGAGTCAAGTCCGTGAAGTAATTATTAAATTCAACAGGTTATGATTTGGGTCAGGGTCATCTCTTTTGTTTTTGTTGCGTAAACTTGGTGCAGTATTTCTCGCATACTGCAATAAGAGAATATAACAATAGGTCATTGTTATAAGGGTTTACGATGTTGAAACAATATTACAGCTCTAGAGTCTTGCACACTGACCTCGTGACTCACACAAACAAATTCAGTCTTAATGCTTTCGCTGAAACTATTATTTTTTGTGCATTTAAGGTTTCTAACTTAAACTGTTGTTTTTGAGATACCAAACTGCTGCTCAGTTTAGCAAAGTTCTGATAAAATTATCTTTTTAGATATAATTTATAATAATAATAATAAGCATTTATATAGCGCTAAGTCGGCTACTTCTTCATAGCGCTTTACCATATCTACTATATGATTAAAAAAAATACGAATTAATAAAAAAAAGAGATTACATAGTAATTAAAAAGGAAATTAAGGTATAAATTATTAACTAAAGGCAAGTTGGAACAAATGTCTTCAAGTCCTTTTTGAAAACAGCCAAAGTGTTTGATGATCTAAGTGACAAAGGTAGTTCGTTCCACAGTTTGGGGCCAGCAGCTGAAAAAGCGCTGTCACCATATGTCTTCAGAGATGTCCTTGGAATGCTCAAGGGTCTTTGTGAAGCAGAGCGTAGTAAACAAGAACTGGTAAAATAATGTAAAAGTTCAGAAATATAAGCAGGAGCTAAACCATTCAGACCTTTGTAGACTAATGGGAGTACTTTTAAAATAATTCTATATTGAATTGGTAACCAGTGAAGCTTACATAGAACAGGAGTAATGTGATCAGTTTTCTTTGTGAGAGTAACAATTCTTGCAGCAGCATTCTGTATTATCTGTAACTGATTGATCATATAGGTTGGAAGTCCATAAAGCAGAGAATTACAATTATCCAATTCAGAGGTTATGTAGGCATGAATCAGAATTTCAGTAGTGTCCTGGCTTCTAGGTATCTTCTAATTTTACGTATATTCCTTAGAAGGTAGAATGAGGCTTGACAGACTTTTTTCACATGTACATGCATCCTTGCGTGCTGATCAAAGTGGACTCCCAGATTTTGTACTGATTCACTAGAACAAATCTTTTCCTCATCAACTTGAAGATGAGTTAAAGCAAGAGACTGATGATATCTAGAGCTAATGAGTAGCACTTCAGTTTTATCTTGATTTAGCTTCAATCTATTGGAGACCATCCACGAGTCAATGTGTTTAGCACATGCTTCTGATTTAGACTTCTCTTTGTTCTTTGAACACATCCCAGCAATTGGAAATTCTCATGCAGAACAACTGTTTCACCAGTCTTTGGGTTTAATGACTAGACTAAGTGCACATGCTCATATGTTGGTGCAGGCTGTAAACATTGACTCTCTCTGCACACACTCAAAATAGGGAAGTACACTTGATTTTTTTACACTTTTCAGGGAAATACCTCATTTCCACCCCACCCCTAGTGTGATACCTGCAGCGTAACATTTCACAGTAATGCAATGGAAAAAACTCACTCTTTGTCAGCAAATTAACTTGAGAGCTTTGAAATATGGCCTGTGGTGAAATCAAATAGCTTATTGGTAAATGCTTCCTTCTATAGAAAAGGCTGTAACTAGGTTATCCCAGTGTGAAGTTTGACTTATTTTAAGATCTATGAAGTATTTTATGAGTAATATTTGAAATTCTTCACAGGCTTTTAGTTTGGCGGAGAAGCATTTTGGTATTCCAATTGTACTTGATGCAGGTGACATGGTAGAAAATGTCATTCCAGATAAATTGAGCGTTATCACTTATGTCTCGCAGCTGTATGAGTACTTCAAGAACAAAACTCCTGGTATGTAGTCAGCCAGTTTAAAATATTTTCCTCATGATTCTCAGTTGTTCTTAACTCTGTAACTCTCACAATTGACTAACACTTAACTTCTCTTTACGATATCCATACATTATCCAGCAAACATGTAGTGAGAAATTATACCCAGATTGATAAACCTAATTTGCCAGTTTGGTGACCTGTGCTGCTGCACATTAAGTCGTATTTGTTTTTTTATAGTCACCATGGTAACTAAAATGACTGCAGCCTAGAGTGCTTTGATCAGTGTCTGTTTTCAACTGGTATAGGTTCTGAACCTTTTATTCATTTATTTTATTTTTGTGACCTTAATTTGTGATTCAGGGCTGTTATAATAAGAATTTGGACTTTTTTACAATAGTCGTTAAGTCTTAAGGACTTCAATTGAGAAGGAAAGTAGTGGTAAATCCTTTGGGTCTCTTCTTTTCAGTGCTTAATATACAACCCAATAAGCAGCTTTCAGACCTTGATAAATTTGTTAATTTTCCTTTCAGAGTATTTGCATTAAAATATTTCTTTTGATCATAAGCTAACCAGGGCTATTCCACTAAGATGAACATACAGCCCAAAGCACGAAGCGACTCTACCGGTCATAAAGGCAGCAAGCGAATCTCACCCTCCCATCAGATATACCTGTTGTCAGGTCATGCGAAGAGGGTGGCTACAGCCTTGCGGAATGTTTTCAAGTCTGATGCTAAAGAAGAATCAACGAAGAGCAAAGAGCACGGTCAAGGAAGTAAATATTTGAGTGTTGAACCTTTAAGGACAAGCCTGGAAACAGTAAGTGTTGACAGAAGTGCATGTATTTTACTTGTTTTTTTTTTTTTAGTGTTTACATGAGCAGAATTTTTCCCCAAACAAGGTATGGCTTCATTGGTTACTTTGCATACTGCCAGTCTTCTTCTGGTAACAAGGCCAACTGGTTACACATCACATCACGTCATGAACCATTTGCTTTGCTGGGGTTTGTGGGCTTTCATCAGCTGTGATAAGCAAATCTTGATGATTTCTTTTCTCAGATGATCATTAATGGCTCTCATGACATTCTGTTCTTGATTGTTGACACCCATTCAAGTTAATGGAATCTGGTAGCTAATATCCTATGTTGATGTTGCTTTCCCATCTAAACTGGGTATTTTTTGGCATCAACTATTAGCTCAACAGCCTCCCCTCCTTTCTCCCCCCCCCCTTGTATTGAAAAATATAGACTGATTCTTTTTTTAATATTTGAAATAAAATGCATCTATTTGCACCTTATATTCTCTTCAACCTTCCTGTCAGTGCTATGGTTAATGTCAATGATCTAAAGTTTTAGCAATGCACATATGTCTTGTGGTGTCATCAAAGCAAGTTGCAAACTCAAAGTTAAAAATAATGCAAAAAAAGCCTGTATACCTTCAATTATTTTCTTCCTGCTTTGTTTAAGAGGATTTAAATGGTTTCATTCCAGATAACATAATATTATTCTCTTAAGCAGCTGTTTCAGAGTGGTAACCTTAACTCTATAACCCCTAGATGTTATTAAGATGTTCATACATTATCCAGCTAAAAGGTCTTGAGAATACTCAAACTTATCAGATAGAGATTATCTTGATCTAGTAATACCAAATTCTTACAACTAATTTACAAGGAAATGTGTGGCAGTTAGAGGGGAGAATTAACAATCAGATCCTGGAGTAAAAGTGCTTTGAGGAGTAGGTGGCATGGCAGAGTGGTTAGGGTGCTGAACTTGTAAATAAATCCAGTGTTCCAGGCTCAAGTCCTCCACCCTGCCACTCACTGGATTTGTTCTCTGTCGCCGCAAGTTCAACTCCTCAGCTGTGCTCTGTAAATAGCATACTTGTCTGCCTCCTGGTAGGGATTTTCAAGCTCTTATAGTCTCTGCTCAAAGAAATCAGTTCATTAGCTACTATAAAATTCAAGTTTATGTTATGTTATAAAGTTTATGTTATGTTATGTTGACCATCACAATTCAGTTAGAAGGAAATGAATGTTTTTATCTCTGCGTTATTTTTTAGAACAGAAGTACAGATGAACTTGTTCCAAGCGCTCCAAGAAAATCACCAATGCTGGGAAATGATTGTTTTATCTGTCACAACAGAGTGTTTCTCATGGAAAGGCTGATTGCAGAAAGGAAGTTGTTCCATAGGGCATGCTTCAGATGTGATAAATGCAGAGCCTGCCTTCGACCTGGAACATATCATTACTTCCCTGATACAAAGAAGTTCTGCTGTTTATTTGATTGCCCAGGAGGTAATTTAATTATATTTTTACCTACAAAATAATTTTGGTATCAACGTTCCCTTACATGTAGAGCTTTCAGTCAGGAATGGTAGTATATTCAGAAAGAAGACATTTTAACTGCAGCTTAAACAGGATGCTGGCGTATAAAAGTCTGTACTCAAGCCGAGAGGATTGCTAAGCCAGAGCTTATCCAGGTTCTAGAGCATAATGTGATTAGGAGTGTTACCACTCCACCTCCCCCCCCCTCCCCCAAATGAGGCACCAGTCCTTTGCAGGCTTCCCTGGAAATTTCTAGTACCCACTGATACATACATACATACACGTACACAATCTTTATTTAAACATGATGGTTTTTAAAGCTATAAAGCTTGTTGGATCATGTGTTTAAGAATTAAGCCAACATATATATAATTTTTTTTTTAAATGTTGCATGGACACAATGATCAATAATATATAAAATTATGTTGTCTGCATCTTATAGCAGATGCAGATGTACATTTGAACTTAAAGTCTTTAAAATAATCTTCAGAACTGACTCGCTTCCTGAGCTGATTAAGATTGAGGGTCGCCGATGCTTCCTTATTATAATTGTAGTTAAAAAAGTTCTGTAACGAAGCTCCTCTATATGAGAGAGAGTTATCTTGACTCATACCTTGGCACGAGAAGACGATTCTGGTCTCGAGTGATAGACCTGGGCAGAGAGGGACGCTGTGAGAGTAAAATGTTTTAACCCACAAACTCCTAAGATCTGATTATTAGTTCTTGCTTCTAGCTTGCTGTATATTTCTTTGTAAATTAGTTATGAGAATTTGGTATTAGATCTGGATCACAACTTTTACCTGATAAGTTTGAGTATTCTCATTACCTGTTTGCTGGATACTGTATGGATATTATAGGGGGAAGTTTCATATTGATCATTTCTGGGAGTTAAAGGGTTAACAAAGAACACAACACAATGACTGGGCCAGGATTAGAACCCAGACCTCTCTTGATCCAGAGTCCAGAGCAATAATTATTAGGCACCAGGACTCCCAGAAGCTCATTTACTTTCTGCCAAATTTGTATCAATATGTTGAAGTACTTGTGGTCTTCAGACTTTTGTATAAACTATAATGTTCATGTAATGACAATGTTACTTGTGTGAATTATTGCTGGTGGTCATTTTTTTCAGGCATGAATAAGGAAATATTAAATGGGGACTACAGTTTGATTTTATATCAAAGTCTTGGAGCTAAAATTATGAGAAAGTTTGATAGACAGTATGGAATTGGTAGTTAGATCTTGGAAGTGAAATGTTAATTCTAAGAGATCTCTTGCTTCTGCTTTACCCCTACAGGTCAGAAGGAAAATCCCATCAAAATTAAACTAGAACCGTTGACAAATGCTGCCCAGCAAAAGCAAACACAGAAGGGTCCATCTCTTGAATCTTCTCCTAATCTGTCTGACAGCAATTCTACGAAACTATCTGATAAAAGCCCACTTCAAAGACAGTTCTCAGTTGTTAAAAAGAATGCAATAACACTGGCTGCATTGCCGCAGCCACTAACCCGAGGGAAACCTCGTGTTGTGAAAAGCCCAAAGCAGTCACGCTCATCGCAGCGTTATGACAGGTCAAAGGTGAAGAAAATTGAGCAAGGTGAGAAGAAACGGCGATTCTCTGGTGGAGGAAGGCTTAGGAAGAAACGTGAAGGTAAAGGAAAATATTTTGATTCCGAGGAACTGGGTGATAAAGAGAATTCATCTTGGTCACCAGAAAACAAAAGACGAGCTCCTGATATTAGTCAAGTCAGTAAATTAAATGAAAGTGATAGTGTTAAAAGTAGCTGTAGTGAACTGGTAAACAAGACCTTGAGTGTGGAGGTACCATATGAAAGTTCGGAGACTTCATCACCAAAGTTGCTTTTAGAGTCTAAAGAACAACAAGAGGAGGAGGTGGAAAAACTTAAACAGAAATCTGATGATCAGAGGTCTACAAAAGACCCAGAATCACCTTCTGTGAATCTCTTTTTTTCTTTTAAAGAGGAGTTACTGAAAAGGGCTACAGAAGGTAAAGGAAGTATTGAAGATGATAAGGTCTCTAAGAAAGGTGATACTGAGTGTGTTTCACCAGAATTTTGGAATCAGGGACATAAGACAAAACACGGGAACAGTGGAACTGGAGATGGTGATTCACTTGCAAATGAATCTGACAGCCAGGTCAATGCTTCAGTAGAAGAGAACTTGGAAAAGCCAGATAATCAGCATAAATTTTCAGAGTCTAGTGTCCAAAGTGATTCAACTAAGTCAACTAAGTCACAGAAGACAAGTGTTTCTGAAGAGACTGAGCCTTCAGCAGCTGCCAAGAGTGTACAAAGACTGCGGGAAAAGTTTCTGAACATCAATGACATGATTGATGAAAAACACAAGAATAACGTGGCAAAGAAAAGTGTTGAAATTCAGAGAGAACTAAGATGTATTTCTGCTTGGAAACAGCAAACTGAAGCTCATCAAGTTACATCAAGGAAACATTCAATAGGCTCTGGTAAGGCAGGAGAGGTAAAGAAACCAAGCTTTGGTACAAGTCGGCGAAGTGTGAAGGAATTGCGAAAAATGTATATGGACAATGGAAGTAGTGGAAGAAAATCTGTCAAGGGAAAGTCAGATTTAACATTGGGGAAATCAGATTTAGTGTCATCAAAATCTAGTAGTTCATCTGCGGGAATAGAACAAAAATCAAGTATAACTGATAAAACAGCTGACTTCCCTTTAAATGAATCCAAGAAAAAACATGATTCTTCTGAGCATGGAAGTGAAGAAAGTACAGAACCAGCTGATGATCACACATCTGAGTCTAAGGATGAAAATAATTCATCTGACACTAAGGATGTTGAATTTGCTACTTTACCAGGTACTTCAACAGATAGCATGCAAAGTATAGATACAAATGACAACATAGTTATTATAAATGTCGACCACACTCAAGTAGATGAAAGTGTTTCAAGTGACAGTCAAATTAGTGGAGAGCCACATGCCACAGAAAATGATTACTCCATCGCTAAGTCTGACCAAGTGTCAAGTGAGGTTCCATCTCTTCAAGTTGATCCTGCAAGTCCTCAATCTCCTAATTCTGAACGACACTCTCCAGGGTTAAAACGACATTCAGCATCTCATGACAGTGGTATTGATATGCCCTTATATACACAGAGTAATTTTCTGAGTTCTCTGTCAGCTGATGACAAAATATCTGCAAGGAATTTGAAAGTTGCAGCTGAATTTTCTTTCTCGGGAAGTGATTCATCTGTCTCACCCACTGAAAAACAAATGCCAAATGAAAATATGAAAGATTTGCAAATTTCAAGTAATCCATCATCACCAGTTGTTGGTTACTCACCAGAGATTCAGTGGTCACTGCCTTTATCAAATGGACACAGAGCATCTCTTAGTGACTCTAGTTCATCTTGCAGTTCACCTAGAATGTCAATCATCATAGCACAGGAAGCATCCACCACCAAAATCAACAGCAGATTTTTCACTGTTGAAACCATGGAACCCAGGGACTTAGAATATCACAGGATTGCTGAGGAATATAAGTGTGTCATGGAAGTTGAGGGAGAATTCTGCTTTGGTCGAGAGAATAGTAGAACCAGCAGAGCAGAAAGAGATGCAATTTTCTCATTGCGCAATGCTAAGAATCGCAGCTGTAACAGTACTGATCTGATTAAAGAGGAAGAAATAACTCTTTCTCCTGCTGAGATTGATGCTGAATTGCAGTCTTTGGAGGTATTACATGGAGAACTGGAAAGACGAGGAGTGGAAATTGAACACAACTTGAGAGAAAGTATGGACTGTGAGTATGGAACTGTTTCTTAGCAGGAGTTATTTGCAAAACTTTTGAGTGTAAAAGTTAAAAAAAATACTGTTTTGAGTTCAATGTGTACATACATAATTCACATTCAGAGATTGTTGATATTTGAGATTTTGGACAAGATTTTCAAACGATCTCCACAGCCGAGAGGCCCTTTAATGACTGTGAGGAAGAACTTCTACGGGATTGGCTTGGTGTGGTTCATGAACGGAATGTGATTTTGAGAAGAGAATCAGAACTGATATACTTGTAAGTAACCACTCTAAAATGAATTATACCATTCTGTATTCTGCAAATTAGAAATTCTTTTTTCTAAATCTTTGTATATAACTAATAACATACAATTGGATTTTATCATATATGCACTTAAAGGTCAAAATTCTACCATTATATCAGCTATGAAAAATAGTTTTTGTGTGGGGTAAAGAGAATGTTGTGATTACGCCTTTTACCCATGCCAGATGAAGGGTAATAATCAATGTAGCCGCTGAATCGATCGGTTAATTTTAGAGTCTTTTAATCCAGGTTCATCGAAATAGAAGGCATACAAATATGTTTCTGAAAGTAGAATCGAAACTTGCAAACGCGAAGCAAAATAAAGCAAAATAAAAGTATACAAAGCTCAAATAAATCGAAATGTTGAACACTTACAAACAATCTGAGGGTTCCTTCTCAAAATAACTGAAAACTGTTTGTTGAAATCGATAGGATGAAAACGATTCACATTCGCAATATTCAGAACAAAATTCATCATACTCATGGCCGAACAAGATCACTCGCTCAGCCTGGTAACAACTAGAGATGGGTCGTGTTAAAATCATGAAATGTCCGTTAGGAACCCACAATCAAAGTGAAGTGCAGGAAAACTTGACCCTTTCTAAATGTGCTGATGTTTTTACTGGACAGGTATAGATTTCAGCTGACAGAAATTGTTAAGAGAAAAGGACAGGTTTTTTATCTTTTAAGAAAATCATTGAAATCCTTAGTAGAGACACTGGAACATAATGGCTTAGTCTCACTTTCTATTAGGTTGTGTCGCTTAACTCTGGGCTTCTGTCTTTGTTAATTACCAGCTAATAGAGATCCACATTCATATGTATAGAGATAAATCCAAGATACAGTGCAAGGAGTTCCTCCTCAAAGACTCTGTAAGGAATTTATGACTTGAAGTTTGGGGAGTTCCTATGAGAGTATTTATGGCTTGTTTGCTTTGCGTCCTTCTTAGGCTACAGTCCCACAATTATGAAGAAAGATATCGCACAGTGGAAGGAGAACTGAGAAAATTAGTAGCCATGAGAGGTGAAGAGTTAAGCCTTTTGTGAGCATCAGTCACTGTAGATAGAGCACATTTCCAGAGTGTTGTAAAACCAAAATCAAAGTTAAGACTAGCATCTAATTTCTCCAAGCAGTGTTGCCTCTGAATCAAACATTAAGGTCATGAGAATAAAGGAAATGATCACACACTCAAACAGCTCTTGATTCTTCGACAGATACTTCTTATGAGCACTTTAGGGAATGTTTAGAGAATAGTGTGGAGGACTTGCATACTTTCACTCCCAAAATCTCAATAGTAATTCTCTTTACTGTCTTCCATACAATTCTTATGACATTAGTTCAGAGAATTTAGCTTTGGATCAACCAATAATCCCCTAATTGATATCTTTCTTTATTCTCATCACTTGTTTGCTTGATATTGTATTGCTATAGTAAGGAGAAATTCTGTCTTGGTCACTCAAGGGAGTTAAAGGGTTAAAAGTTCAATTTTTTGTCATCAATAGATGAAGTGAAATCTAGTGATGATTTGAAGAGAGAGAGGGAATTACTGTCTGAGTTGCTAGAATTAGTGCAGAAGAGAAGCTTCATTGTTGACAGCTTGGAGGAAGAAAGAGTAAGGTATTTACTTCTCTGAGTTTTATGGAAAATTGGTTACAATTGTATTTACTTCTCTGTTTGTTTATTAATTGTTGGCTACTGTTTTGGCATTGTATAGGATGAGAGAGATGGTTTAAAAGGGATTGTTAATGTTAGAGGTATTAGAGTATGAAGAGGACAGAGTTGATGGAGAGATTTTCCCAGTTGATATCTGGGCTTTGTTGGTATTCACTGGATACTTTTGCAACTGTTTTGCCACTTTCCATCTGAAATATTTACATCCTCTCCTGGCTATTGTTATTAAACCATGTTACAGTTTCAAACACCATATCTTTGACCATGAGACAAAACATAAGACATCTCTAATGAATGTGTTTTATTTGCTTGACTGTTAAAAAATTGATTTTTTATCTCAAAGATGCAAACTTGCCCTGGAGTGTTAACAGAGGGTTTGAGTCTCCATGATGGGCCAAAGCAATTGTGATAGAGCAAAGTAATGACAAGGATTTAATTTGTGTTTGTTATTGTGTAAGCATTTTTTGAAAATTATTTTACAGGGAAATCCACGAGGATGAAAAAGTAGAGCAAGCATTGACAGATGGTGAGTAAAACCTTCAGAGCACAGTGTTTTTGTTGTGTATGGTTGTAAAGTTCCACTGAAGTGTATATTGCACTTGTAAAATCGTACTTTATTAATGTCATATTATATATTACCAGTACACATTTATGGTTAGGTTAGATTAGGTAAAGTCCCTCCAACCTCTTGAACTCCCAGAGCATAGTGCAGTTTACAAGCACGAGTAGACTTGAGTTTTGCTCATTCTCCTAAGTGAAGGGCTAGACCGTCATAAGTAACTTGCAGGCAATTTTCTTATGTTTCCTGGAAAGTTTTTGGCAGCCATTATCATTCCTAGGTTGAAGGAGGCATGGCAAGGGTTAAGTTTCCTGTCTATGAACACAATTTAATAATAGATTTTGTTACATTTTGTTCCACACTAATATCGCTTTGTACTTCAAAAGGTATAGTTGCAGTGCCTGAAAAAAGCTGGGATCAGAGACCAGATTGTACCAAGGTTGCATTTTCAAGGTTTTATTGCTAGCAGCAGCAGTCACAGGTGACAAAGCATGTTCTTCGAATAGTGATAAAAATATCTGGAAGGCTCCTAAAGGACCTTATTATAAACACCTTTCAGTAGCAAGCACAGTGTAAAGTAACAAACTGTAGATACTAAGGTAACATTCTCTAGTGTTGTCAATAATTTGAGCAAATTTAAGAAATGCTTGTCTGTTGTAAAATCTTTCAATTTTGGTGCATTTTATGGAAGTCTCTGAATGGTTGCAAAAAAAATATTCATTTCAACAGTTTTTTTTAGTTTTGAACTTAAGATTTTGACACAGAAAGGTGGTGTCACAGTTCTCATACAAGTACACTTTCTAGTTTCTATTTTTCAAACTTTTTATTAGGATCAGTTGAGAACATCCTGCATAGTTTCACATTACCTTTGTGGACTGGTCATTACAATTCATCTCTGCAAGAGTAGATTACTAGTTTCACCAGCAGTGCTGGACTTTGTTGAAATTTCTGTGCTTTTGATGATTATGAGGTGGTTAGAATTTGGGTTAAAAAAAAAAAAAAGAGATTCTTTTTCCTTTACCTTGGTGCTTTTAAAAATGTCCCATCTAATAAAAATACTTAATTTATAAATTGAGTATTAAGACACTATGGTGTCGAGTTCATAGCCACTGTTGGGTCATATTCTTTGAAAGGGTTGGTTTACAAGCCTTGCTTAGTGCAAGATTTTAATCAGGATTAACTTTTTATTTATCTTGCATGTCAATGTCATTCCTGTAAACTCTATTTTTGGAAGGCATGCAATAATTTTTGACACACTTCCATATTGTGTTTCAAATTAAAGTAACAGAAGTGTTTTGAACTTGAAGGGTGATACATGGTGAACTGTTTGTATGAAAATTCATGTTAGTATTTTTTAAGTATGACACAAACAAATGTATATTTTATACAGAAATATCTATCTCACATTAAGAGGTTAACAGTGTACATATCAAATACATGTAGAACTTTCAGTAAAGAATATTTTTGCAAGTGTTTGTTTGTTTGTTTGTTTGTTCTCTGTTCTTGTGTTGGTGGCTATTTATGGGTATCCATCCCCGCCAAAATTCAAACTTGTTGTTCAAACATTTAGTTGTTCAATTCAAACATTCAATTCGTCACTTCAAACATCCAATTCGCCAATCAAACATTCAATTTGTCAAGTCAAACATTCAATTCGTCACTTGAAACATTCAACTCTGCGATTCAAACTTTCAATTTTTAAATCCAACATTCAATTCTTCACTTGAAACACTCAAACGTGCCATTCGGCAATTCAAAGATTCAATTTGTCAATCGAACATTCTCTTCGTCATTTCAGACATTCGATTCGTCAATTCCAACATTCAATTCGACAATTCGCCGGTTGAAATATCAATTCTGACATTCGATCGGCGTCTCAACGATCCAATTCCTATATTCGGTAATATTGACATTCAATCGGTACTTTGAACATTCTCTCTCGGCGTTACTAGTTTCGACATTCAAACTTTGAACATTCAAACTCAGCGTCCGTCTGGTCTGGGTACGAGAATGTCTCAGGCCTCTCTCCGTCTTTTTCGTGAGTTACGTTTGGCGTCGCCAGTTGCGGTTAGTGACTTAATTAGGGCCCATTATTTAATCGAAATCAAACTTAGACCGTGGTTTAAGGATGGTAATGGGCCATGAGATTCTAATTATAATCATAAAGGTAAGGAAAGATATGTTTGATTTAAATTAGTCTGTGGCATATGCCAGCTTGGCTTTACAGTTCAAAACAAACCTCTCAACCTCAAGACACCAAAAATCTGAAGACTGATGTTAAAAAAATCTGGAGATTTCAGTAAAAATCTGGAGATTGGTCGACCGGCAGACAAAACCAAGTAAACACAGGTTCTTAAATTAAGAGAAAGTGTTTTTTGTCCTGCTCATAATTTACTTAAAACATACGTGGACCTGATCAACACAGAAATAAACTCAAAATGCGAGAGTCTGGTTATGATGTTCTAATTTGGAACAGGTGTTCTATATATGATCATGGACGACTCACGGTGTTTCCAGCGAAAAGACGGATGAAGAACGTAACAGCTTAGTTTGTTATGGATTTGCACAGAATTGGTACCAAAAAACTCACCACTAGCAAGCCAAAAATTAATTATACAGAAAATTTATCCTTTCAGCTTGCGCCTCTATTTATCGTGAGATTTGTCTGTCTCGTCGTGAGACCGTGAGATTGAACTGAAAATCGTGAGTCTCACGACAAAATCGTGAGACCTGAGAGGTCTGAGTTTAATTGTGGTGAAGAACGCGTACCTGTTTGGGTTGAGCAAATTGAAGTCTAGTTAGCCCGAGGTTTTAATAAACCTCGCCTAAACTTCGTTTCAATAGCCGGTCCTTAATGTTTCTGTTAATTTTCTAATATAATTTCAATCTCGCTTATTCTTATTGGGGCTGCGTATTGAGAACCGGTTAGTACATGTGCTGAAAGTACGTCAAAAGTTATTTGTACGACACAATTTTATCTGTTGTGGTTTAAATTTATCCTTGGTTTGAATGTTCTTTTCCTTTGTATTTGGGCATGGTTATGTCTGATACTTGGTGTGGAACAATGGGAAATAAAATTTAAACCAATGATAAAATTGAACCACAACATATCCACATGGCCACTTTGGTCCCAACTGGTGGACCTCAAAAAAAGATAAGGGATGGTATTGTTTTGTACGATGTCAGTAATGTGAAATGTAGTTATAATACCTAACCTTATTGTGCAACTAAACGGGCAGAAAGCCTCAACCTTCAGATTGGCTACATGGTTATTATGGCCACCTCAGAAATGATGCTTTGAGGTTTTTACAGTACCTGAATGGTAGACACAACAATATTTAATTCACTATTGACTTTGAACACAACGATGAAATTCCACTTCAAACAACATTGCTATAATATTCCAGGAGAGGTGTGGTATTTCCCACTGGGTATTTATAGAGCCACAGAAGACCCAACTACCATAGTCTAGGAATAGCCACCTTGCAAGTTTTCAATGATCTTATATAACAGTTTGTCTTCTTAAAGTGCACCTAAACCCAAAAATGTTTTTTCGCTTAACGAAATAAGCTTATTTTTTGGAGTATTTCTGTGCAAAAAATTTTTAATTTGCTCAAATCTTTCCTTTTCTCCATTTTCTGTGCCCAGTCAAAATACGGAAAATCGGCCGCTATCTTGCCCCACGACCGAGTTAAAGAGGAATGGCTCTAGCGGGTAATGTGACGTCAAATCGAGAACACGAAAGTCTGCATTTCACACATTTTCGCTTGTTTGGGAAGGTTATCGATATTTTCCGAAATATGCCGAATAGATGTGTTGTATGAGGAATGTATGAAGCGCGATACCCTCTTGCAAATTTCGCATGTTGCTACATCCTCCTACAACACACTTAGTCGGCATATTTTCGGACAATTTCGACTACAACCTTCCCAAACAAGTGAAAATGTGCGAAATGCAGACTTTCGTGTTCTCGATTTGACGTCACATTACCCGCTAGAGCCATTCCTCTTTAAACTCGGTCGTGGGGCAAGATGGCGGCCGATTTTCTGTATTTTGACTGGGCACAGAAAATTGAGGATTTGAGCAAATAAAAAAAGTTTTGCACAGAAATACTCCAGAAAATACGCTTATTTCGTTAAGCGAACAAAAATTTTTGGGTTTAGGTGCACTTTAAACCTCCGTAATCTCTTTATTCCCATTATGTGTAACTAATACACCTTATTCCCAAATGGGGGTAATTTAAATATTCTTTGGTTTTATTTAAATTAGCACTCATTGCCTCTTTTAAGAAAATCTATTCCTTTGAATTTCGAGATTGAGAATGGGGCAATAAGGGCTAACTCAAATACAAGTACAGGTATATTTAAATAGGCGCCACTTTTGGAATAGGGTGTATGGGAGTTTAAGATTTTTAGAATATATACCAAGGGCTGTTTTCATTGTCTTTTCCCTTTTTTTCACAGAATATGTCACAGTTGCAAAGGTGCAGAGATTTACTGGCTGACTTGACTAGGCAACTTACAGCTGTTGAAGAGAACATCAGCATTAATGCTCCTTCAAGCACTTCAAGCACTCCACGTGCCTTACCAGCAACTGTTGTGGATTCCAGGGTTGGACTGTCCACAGTACCCCTTGTAGTAACATGAAGTCCTGTAAAGGCAGCTGACCGGCAAGCGGCAGAGAAGAACCCGAGAGGAATTATTAAAAGCTTGTGTTCTCACCGATCTGTGTAGTATTTGAGAATTCGTGTACCGAATATAACATGGTGTCAGGACCGGGATACGAATACTAGCCAAAACCATTTTTCAAGCGGATCAGCTGGACAAAGCAAGGGGAAACAAAAGACGAATCAACTTGTTGTGCCTCGCACGTGGTCTCAAACAGGATGGCGGAAGGCATGCCTTTCGTAAAACCATCAGAGCCCCAGGAGATTTCGACGGGAAATCCGGCCTTTTCGTGGGGAAAATGGAAACAGAAATTCGAAATCTACCTCAAGGCAACCGGAGCGTCGAAGAAACCGGACGAAATGAAGGTAGGACTGCTATTGAATCACATCGGTGAATCTTGTCTGGAAATCTACTCAAATTTTGTTTACTTACCCGAGCGTGACGATCCCGCGGGAGGAGAAGACAAACTCCAGGCCGAAAATCCTGACGATTATGCGACCGTCTTAGCAAAGTTCGACGAATACTTTCACAAACGAGACCCTCAACTCATGCTCCGAGAGAAATTTTGGCTTCACTTCACACGAGATTCGACATAAATTTAAACCTTTGATTCTTAAAATTGTCACTGTCAAAGAAAGAGCCGCTGAGTGCAAGTTTCCCGCCAATTTCTATGAGCAATCGGTATGGGACAAACTTACCTTTTCCTGCAAGGAAGACAGCTACAAGCTCAAAATTTACGACGAGGGAGCAGCCCTTTCACTGGACAGGACTATTCAAATACTATCACTGAAGGAAGCTACGAAACGTGAGTTGCATGAGTAAAAAACCGCCGAGATCGAGAGTATCACAAAACGAGAGATAGCTCCTTACGGCGCAAACGGCGCTTATAATGGAAGCAAGCAAGATTCTAAGAAGATACCCCTCCAGTCACGCGGCAAAAATTGCGGATACTGGAACCACCAGCACCGTCCAGGTAGGAGGAATTGTCCAGCTGCAATAACGAGATGCATCAAGTGCAACAAAATTGGACATTTTCCTGAAATATGCAGGAGTACACCTGTTAACTTGGTTAGTCAAGTTTCAGAAACTGAGGGTGATATTTGCCCCACATTTGTTGGAGGAGTTACGACGCCCAGTTCAACTTCCTTACCTCTAACAGCCACCATAGAACCAGCCAGTATTCATCAAACCTCCACCTCTGACTCTGGTTGGTATGTCAAGCTTAAGGTTCAAGACCAGGAGCTAACATGGTGTATTGACACTGGTGCTCAAGTATCTGTAATGCCGAAGTCCCTTAACAAGGAATCGTATGGGCCATTATCAAAAGCAGACAGAGAGCTTGTTGGAGCAGATGTTCCCCTGAGGACCCTTGGATTTGTGCTTATGACTCTTGCCTTGCACAAAACCAGAGTCCAGGAAAGAGTATACATTGTCAAAGGGGCATCCAAACTGCTTCTCGTTATACCCGCAATCCGCAGCTTTGGCCTTATTCATGAAATACCAGGAACCTTCAGAGTCAATCCAGTCGAGCATACGCGGTCTCCTGATGTTCCGCCTCGACTGGACGTAAAGGAGAACATTGTGAAGCAGTACCCGATGCTCTTTCAGGGCCTAGGCAAACTGGAAGGTGAGTACACTATTCGTCTGAAGGATGGGGTCACACCATTTTGTCTGACACCCTCTGCAATCTGCCTCTCTGAGGCCTGAACGCAGCATTACAAAATGTGCTACAATCTTTGGCAGTGTCCTTATTTTCAGTTTAGAGATGAGGTCTAATCAATGTGTTTTTAATCATTCCTAAGGAAGTAACTTTCTTTAATTTCAAAATACCAAAACCAAATGTATTATTTTTGGCACAAATCCACCCTTCAGCTACCTTATCAACTTATGATTTCCGTCTATGTGCCATAGTGCCTGAGGGGAACACACATTGTACACTCGCCGTCGTATAGACTGCCTCCACCTTTGCAGAACACCAGTTGGAACAGTCCGAAGAAGTGACTGTCTAACTCTCTCTCTCTCTGAATTCGGTACCCCTTGCTCTTCAGATGACCTCTGAGCATTCTTAGGCCCAATCCTGGATGTTGATGTTGTTGCTGTATACTTTTCACCAGGACATCAAGTTCATGTTCGCCAATTACACAGTATGTCCCTGTGAGCAGAAAAAAAAATGGAATCGTATTAAAGAGTTGTATACCATTGATTAAAGGATTAGACCAAATTCGATGTATTGAATAAAACAAGCATTTCTGTAGGTTTATTCCCCAGAGCCTCGAGGTGAAGTCTGGTCTCCGACTGCATTTTAATAATGCATTGACTTCTGGCTACTTACCCTCGCGTTTTTCTCGGGGAGTGGTACGTATGGATTTGGTAAATCTAATTCTAACTAGAGATAAAATTATGAACCACTGCATTAGCTTTATATTCAAAATGATACTCAAAATTCAGCTTTGTCCTCACCTGAAATGGTAATATCAAAGAGGGACATCCTTCTCTCTATTGTCCTTCTTGATCATGATACTCCTAACAACTCGCTTATTTGGGGAACGGTGAAGCCACTATCAACGAGATAGGACAGTTGTCCTTCCTTTATGTCGAAGGAAGGTCGTCCCGGACGACCGCTGTAAATTTTGGTTCCATTGCAATCATTTGATCGAACATCCATTTCGCGCTCAACATCCTTTAAACAGTCTACGGCCGATCCAAGGCCACTTGCAAACGAGTCAGGGAGTTCTGCGTTGTTTGCGATTGACCTGTTCAAGTACTCTAAACGGACAACCAGACTATTGCAATCGTCAGAACCTTGTAAATTATCTAGCCTTTGTAGGGTATCCTGTAAAACGGTCAAAATCGTACTTTCTCGGCCAGCCATAATGAGTGCCTGAAAAGTGCAATTGCCCGGAGAGCAAGAAATTTCACGCCCTTTTCACGAAAAAGACGGAGAGAGGTCTGAGACACATTCTCGTACCCAGACCAAACGGACGCTGAGTTTGGATGTTCAAAGTTCGCACGTGGAAACTTTGAACGTCGAGAGTGAATGTTCAAAGTACTGATTGAATGTCAATATTACCGAATGTAGGAATTGGATCGTCGAGACGCCGATCGAATGTCTGAAATGACGAAGTGAACGTTCGATTGACATATTGTATCTTTGAATCGCCGAATGGGACGTTTGAATCTTTGAATTGCCGAATGGCACGTTTGAATTGCCGAATTGAGTGTTTCAAGTGAAGAATTGAATGTTTGATTGACGAACTGGACGTTTGAATGGCCGAGTTGAATGTTTCAAGTGACGAATTGAATGTTTGACTTGAAAAATTGAATGTTTGATCGACGAATTGGATGTTTGAAGTGATGAATTGAACGTTTGAATTGAACAACTAAATGTTTGAACGACAAGTTTGAATTTTGGCAGGGATGGATACCCATAGCTATTGCACCATGATTGCTTTTCCCTTCAGAAATAAGAACATATACTCAAGAACAATACCTTTCCAATTTCTTACACGTCTTTCTTTATTCAGTTTGTCTGATAGGAAAAATATTTTTTTAGGTCTGTAAGAAGAGGTCAGTGTCAAAAATAATACCCCAATTTGGGCCATACTCATACTTACTGGCTTAAAAAAATATATTTCAATGTACTGATGGGAATATAGCAATTTTGCATGAATCCACAACCAGATATCAGACTTGTTTACTGTATGTTCTAGAAGTCAAAGCTGAATTTTCTCTGGCACATAAGTCATGAGAAATAATTTATTTTAAAATACAAACATGTTGCCACTCTTCACTATCTCAGCTGATGCCGCTGATGCTCTTGCTACTCGGCGAGATCAAGCTCTTTGCTTCTTTCTTTATCTATTAATTCAAGCTCCCTTATTTTCTGTAAGTAAAAGATTTAAAAAACAAAATAATACATAATTAAAATGTTGACACTGCCTGAAGGGATTTAAAATGCTGTAAATGTCACTACTGGCTAAAATACTCACTGGTAGGTAGCTTTTAGAGGCTCTGTTATCTTGGACCTTTTTGGTGTAAGAATGTTTAATCCATACATACTGAGATTTACCCAGCAAAGTATTATTGTTAGTGTCTCTGATTGGATGAACTATGTATTTTCATAGTTGTTTGCTTCCAATCTTTGAATGTATCACTCAGTAAGAAAAAATCGCAGTGTGTATGAACTAAAAACGTACCATGGGAAGTGCTTATTCACTTGCTGCAATGCATAAAAAAAACTTACTCATTTACTGTGCTCTCCTGTTTGTTTTTTTTTTTTTATGCATTGCAACTTGTGAATTAAAATCATTTGTGGGTACTTTGAATGGACTAATCCCTATTTCTTAAAAGATGCACACAGAATTGTTCTTGATCTCTGTTCAAAACATGATTAAGCTATGCAGAGAGTTTTCCTGCTTAAATGTGTTCAGTTTTGCCCCTTAACAAGATAGAACGGCATGAACTATAATTACTGGTCTAATTTACACCTTTATTGGTAGGATTAGAAGCAATCACTATTTGAACCCTCCCCAGGTGTTTAATTCATTCCATTCACTCAATAATTTACCTGTGATATCTCTGTCATTATTATGGTTCTGTATTTTTTTCCTTCTCCAAGAGTCTCCATCTCATCTAGAAAACTTCTGCGCTCCTCTATTTCCTGAAGAACTGCACCAAGAAAAATCAACAAATTATTAAAGGAGTGTTAATGAACTACAGTCCAAACATCTGATGTATCAGAGGGTGAGATTTTGGAAAAAAATTGTGGTGATTGAATTCATTAGAATTTAAAAGCAACAAACTCACATGTGAAGCAACCTTTTACAACAATGTCAACTCTCAAAATTACTTTGAATATAAGAATAGACAACTAAAAGGAGTCCAAGAAAGCTGTTATATTGTTTGTTTTTATTTTAGTCAACATCTACCAACATTCAGGGTGTGCTTACTCTCATCAAATCTATCAACTTCTTTTTCTGGTTTCATTTCTTTGGCTGGTCGTCTTCTCTGTGTTGGAACATCTTCTATGTCCTTCCCATGCTCACCATATGCCATCACATTCTGAAGTCTTCTTTTATCTTTCTCTGAAATCAATTCTAGAAAGTAACAAATCATCATTTTTTTAATTGGATCTGGAATAAATGGTTGAGTTCTCCCATGAATTTCAAGTTTAGGTTGGGTCAGCTACTTTCACATCAGACTTGAGGGAACTTACCCAACCCTTATTTTCGGACAAATGTTAGCTGAAAATTTATCCCTAAAGAACAGATGTGTTTACATAAATTAAAGAAAATTGGTCGCTGGTTGGGACAGAAGCCCACAGAGAAGCTCCTTGTTTGGTGTCTTGTATGTGGCTTTTTATAGTGTATTCGCTACGTCGAAGGGCTAACGCTCGAAAGGTCAGCTTTTGAAATCGTTACCGTGGCCAATTTACCACTTCAACTTTGATGATATATCCAAATTATTTTGTTACTCCCACCGACGCTTCCCCAAACAGTTTCTTTCCAAACTATCAGCCTTTATTCTTTTGATACTGTAGTCTGATCAACCTGGTGAGTGTAGTCATGAGCAGGACTGTTGTTGGTAGTGGTGAATGACATTTCAACAACCTGAGCAGAAGTCATCAGCAGAGTCAGTGAGGGACTGTTGCTCCTCTTAATCTCCTTATCCATACATTACCATTGGCTTTGCTAGTGATAAGAAACCTAGAGAGCCTGCTCAGAAGTATGGTAAGGTAAACAAGTCTCCTTTAACAAAAAAAACAACAACAAAAAAAAACAGTCATGAACCAAGAGCAAATTGAACATACTTCCTGGAGCTGGTCGATAAATATCCTGTGGTTCCACATTCTTTTGTATATCAATTGTCTCCTTTGTCTTCTTTCCTCCTGAAAGGTGTCTTGCATTCATCACTTTGGGTAATGGTTTCTTGGGTGAGCTTGTGGGCTGTACTCTCTCATTTCTACTTGTTGTTGGATTACAGGCAACAGGCAGAGATTGACCCTCTAGAAAATTACAACAATATGGTGGTTAGTTATTAAAATTTTAAAGGACCCTTGGCAAATCCATTGATGAAATGAAACATTAAACCACCATGACCTGATTTGAAACTCTCTCCTTTAACTAGTATACATTTATTTTTGACTGAGTTAGGAGAATTTAAGGTGAATAATTCATGATCAGGTACTATGAAGTCATTGTCATATAATAATTATGTGGGTAACTGTGCGGTTCCTTAACTCTTTACACTGGAGTTGTCAATACTAATATCAGTATGCATATTCTCCATAGTGTTCTCTATACATTTCCTATAGTATTGAAAAGGATTTTGTTTCACAAACAAGAATTTTTCTGGTCAATGATCATTTCCTTTATTCTCATGACCTTAACGTTTGACTCAGTGGTGACACTATAAAGAGAAATTAGATCTTAGTCTCTCGACGGGTTCAAGGATTAACATGAATTCCTCTAGCTGACCAGCTTGTATTTAATCATCACCTGTATATTGTGTTCACAATGAAATGATGTTAATCGCATCTGGGAGCGAAAACACTTGAACATGTTGCTAAAAATACCGTCATTAAAAGACAAGTACCTACAGAAAATTACTACACATCTACGTTAGGTTTTAAAAGTAAAATGCAGAAGAAAATCTTGAAAGCATCGGATAGGATATGTTGATCAAATACGACTTGTATTCATAATTGAAACGAAACCCATAGACATTTAAAGGAGGAAAATACTTAGAAACAAAACTGACTTTTCATGCTGTCTTGTAACTGTCTCCGTTGAAAGTTCGTCAACTTCGATTCTTCCATCATAACTGTCAAAGAAAAGTCTCGGTCATAAAATGACAACAGAAGTTTTAAAATCTTTGAGGAGCTTCTCTGATATATACAGTATTACCTTTTAGCAGATTTTGAGTCTCCTTGCTTACTGGAGCTGACTGTGATGACCACAAACCACCTTTAGCAACTGGTTGTCTGTTCGACGCCATGTTTGTTTCTGCTGTTACCAAGTGAGCCCGCAGGCATTGTTGATTAGCGGTGTATGATTTTCGTCACGCGTATAATCTTGACTTTGAAAATATGGCGCGAACCTCCACGAAACTTTGGAAGAATTTACACAAGCCTTTTTGAATCCTCGAGGGTAAAGAAAATGAATAAAACTGAGGAAGGGACTTAAGAAGGAAATTGAAGATGTCGAAATGTAAGTTACCCTGGTTGCTTTGCTTTTATTGAGCTTGAATAACTGAATTAAACTTGATTAATTTAATTTATAATTTTAATCTAGGCCTGTGCGACGGAAGAGAAAGTTACCAATTTTATTTTTAGTGGCGTGTAGCCAGTTTTATTCTAGTTTGTTCAATGAAAGTGTAGAAAGTTTCTGAAAAATATTATATCCAGTTCAGGGTAATTTTTGGCTTGCACTTAATGTCAGGTTTGATACGAGAGTGAGTCATATAATAGATATTCAACTGTGTACGTATCCAGCCGCAGTTTTTAACACATGTGCGATTATAATAATTTTATAAAGTAAATGTGAAACTTTACACGCTCTGATTGCCATTGTTCTACAGAACCAATAGAATGCCTTTCCTATTGCTACTGCGACAACTAGTGTTATTATCCATGTAAGATAAGTAACAACATAGCAAACGATCAGAGATTTGATCCTCGGACCTTCAGTTAAATACTTCTTTGCTCAACCACTGGAATCAGGTAAATCTAAAAATTTTGTATTCTCATATTCTATTCTTAGTTTGGCAACATCCAAATGTGAATCTGTTTAAACATTTTAACATTGGAGAATGGAAGAAATGCTCCAAGGAAGGAGAGGTCTCAACTATTATGGTAAGCAAAACATGAATAGAATAATATGTTAAAATTATTCGCTAAAGGCGAGGTGAATATTGTTGAATAATCCCCTTGACTTCGTCTCGGGGATTAATCAACGATATTCACCGAACCCAAGGTGAATAATTGTTTTAGTATAATTTCAGAGCTGAACAACAGAGAAATTTCTAAAATTTCTAACATTTATTAACATTTTATTTTAACATTTTATGTAAACCCCATTGACCGATTTATATAGCCTCATAGAAGGAACCTCTAGACCAATCAGATAGCTGGAAACTCTTTGCTCAGCTCTGAAATTATACTAACTACAGATAGAAGTAACTCTCTTTTTTCTTGTACTTCCTTTTTCTTCAAGAAATGGAATTGTCATCTGATTTCTCTGAATGCAAGCTTAATATTTGTATCAGAGAACACCAATGGTTTTTGTTTAATTTGAAACTCCATCAAAAATGCCCTTCATTAAACTCTTTTAATTGGAGTTACAGATAATAGTAATAGCAATATTTCAATGTAGTTTGTCTGTTTAAGCGTACATTCATGTTAAAGGTTACCAGGACTCAAGGCTAATAGTAGCCAACAAGCCACAGTCTAGTGAAATTTCAGTTTTGGATGGTAGATTTTGTACTTTCACCAACCAATGGGGTTAGTGACAGTCGTGAAGGAATGGAGTACTAGTCTTCTAGATAGAAACAAAATTGAGAATTATTCTGAATAAGTAATTAAAAGCTAATGAGAGAATAGAAACTAATGAATGGAGAAACTGTGAGCAGATTAACTGGAATTAAAAAGAAATGTCCAAAAACAACCACTCCCATAAAACAATGTGACAGAGTCACTTAGGCTTATTTTCTACTTTAAACATGTTTGTTTTCTACTTTAAACATGTTTGTTTGATCTGTTTATTTTATTTTCTGGAATTTTAGTGATTTGTCAGTAATTTTAGTAATGAGTTAATTGTGTTAGTAATGTGTTAATTGTGTTAGTAATGTGTTAATTGTGTTAGTAATGTGTTAATTGTGTTAGTAATGTGTTAATTGTGTTAGTAATGTGTTAATTGTATTATTCCAGTACCTACCCTTGTCCTGTTGTGTAAGAGTAAACACCGGTTTCCCTTATGTAATTCCTGTTTTGTTGACCACTCCTAACCCAAATTTGGTTTTAAGTTATTTTTACCTTTTCCTGTATTTTACTATAAGTTACAACCATTTGCTCGATAAGTTCAGTTGATTTGTTGCCTTCCTGAGAGTGTCCTTAAAACGGATTCCGAGATATACTAGCTTTTGTGTCACTCATTCCCGTTTTTTTGTACGGTTGCATTTATTTTCTGTGTAATAAACTTGTAAATCTTCCCTCGGATCTTTTGTTCTTTCATCGACCGTTTTGGCCGTCTTACAACAAGGTGGTGAAAATGTGCATGAAAAACACTTGCCAGAACAAATTTAGTTTTGACTAGTAAAATAAGACTTGTTTACTAGCCATAATTTAGGCTAATAAGTTAGTCTAATAAGTTTATCCAGAGGCCTGGGTACCATGGAAGTTCTGCTGATGTGAAATTATAATGCCTTTTGTTCCTTATTTAGGACAAACAGGTGAAAGGCACAGTTTACAGAATCACTGGATCGATTCCTGCCAGTAACTTCATTCAGTTGCCTCGCACCAGCACTCAGTCACTGGGGTTGACTGGTAGATATCTGTACTGTCTATTCCGACCGATTGCTGGAAAGTATTTCGTAGTCCATGTGGATTTAGCAACAGATGATGGGCTTACCATTAGGATTTCCTTCTCAAATATGTTCAAAGAGTTTAAGTCCACTTCAACATGGCTGCAGTTTCCATTTGTCTCCAGCCCTCCCCCTGGTTCAGTGGATGAAGTCACCCTCAGTGAGACAGGCACTATAACAAGTAAGGATTGTGTTATGATCAGTTAGTATACAGGTGTAAATAAATGTGAGCAGACACAACCTTTTATTATTATAGTTCTTAAGGAGCTGTCATACTGGATTGGTGGGCAAGTGTAATATTAATGCTATTATGTGGTTACCATCCAGAAGCTGATAAAGGTCAATGAATGGACCTATCATATTTTGAAAAGCTGACACTCCGAGCTTTAGCCCTTAATTGGAACAAATAGGTGAATGGTGGGTTTTGTATGTGTTGATGTAGTTGAGAATGGAGTTATGCTATTGCATTACACAGGGTAAACTATGATACATGAATTAAATAATGCTTATTACTTAATTTTTGAAAAGAGAACCATTTTGTTTATTGGAAAAGAAGCCTATAGGTGAAGATTTGAAAGATACATTTTTGTCCTTTAATAAAAGGTAGAATGATTTTTTTCAGTTTTCCAGCCTTTGTCAACATAATTAAAGAAGCATGATACCCAAGTGTTCAGACTTGTTAGTGTTTGGTTTTCATAAACATTTGAGAGTTTGAGTAATTTATTTAAGTGAATGCATGATAATGATATATTACTTGATATATATCTGTATATATATGAACTTCATATACATGCATTGTATTTGATATATATCATTCAATAATTATAACATTTGGACTAATAAAATGTGGATGGAATTAAAAACTAAAAGAGTTTTTATATGTAGTATATTTCTTGACTATGCTTTTCATTTCTCCTGTTTGCATTTCTTTATCAGGTCTTGTGGGCACCACATCTCAAACTACCCGCTGGACTGTTCTGGTGCTAGATTTTCGATACATCCTGTCTGTTTACTTGAATCGCCAGTATTCTTACATGAAAAACATTCCCTTGTGTGCCAACATGTTTCTCAAAGGACTTTTTACTAGTGACATAGATTATGCACCTGGTATATCTGCTTTTGAAGCCAGAAAACTAGGCTTGTTAGATAAAGGAATTAGTCCTTTGCCAAGGGAAATGGCATTTCCTTTAGCCAAGGGAGCAGATTGGCACCAGTTATTTGACTATATCAAGTTCCCTCCTGATTCCAAAATTGCAAAATTTGGAATCATGGTAAATATGAAGTCAACATTACAGCATGCTAATGACAAGCAACCTCCCACCACAAGGGAAGAAAGACCAACCAGAGTGAATCATGTCAGTCAAGTTGGTTCACGGGCAAAACTTTCCCAAGAAACATCTCAGTATTTAGGGGGTGAAGCAAAGGTATGGAATACACACTTGTGTACAACAAGTGTACAATATAAGCATTTAGTGAATGGCTCCGAGGGAAACAAAACTCACTGTTTCCCATGGGCCAATCAGTAATTGTTTTTTTAAACCTAGCTCCCAACTCAAAAATTTATGCATTATTGACTAAGCCTGAGGTCAAGATGCCTGGATATTGGTTGAGTTCTTTTTTGCATTACATGGACCAAGACGAAGTTGAGGTCCATCAAAATACAAAAAAAACAAAACAAAACAAAAAGGATGAGAGTAATACCCAGCCATCTTGACTGAATAAACTTGGTCAATAAAGGATTTACTATTACTGAAGCAGAAAGATTTCGCTTTATTACTAACGAAGAATGACTTGTTTATCTTGAGAGCCAGGAAAGAAAAGCCGCCTGTGTTTGTTGCACGATAAACCCACAAGAGTCTTTTATATTTTCCTTGTTCTCGCTTTCTTCTGCCCTTTTTGCAACTCCATTGCCAACTTTGTCCAAAAATTGATAAACTTTGTAAGTCCACTACATGCAATTTTTTTTTTCTTGTGCTAGATTGAAGCGAGCAATCCAGAGCATGCAAGGTTGGCCCATCTTGCCCTTTTGGCCAATCAGAATACAAGATTAGCTTCATATTGCTCATGGGCACTGCCAGCAATATGATAAGACAAATTATTTTCTTTTGAGAGTTCTAACCCATGGCACACAACACAGTCTTCTCCAATCCAAAACTCATTTGAGTTGGGGAGTAAATTAAAATTTATTCACTGAGGCTGATAAGAAATTTACTATTATATAATAGTATTCATCTCATCATCAGACTGACATTAAAACTTTGTCATTAATTTTGAGAACAATGAATAATTTCAGTAAATGATAATTTTTTTCCCCCACCAACTGTATATTTTTACAGACACCCCAAGCAGTAGCCTCAAGAATAGCATTAGTAGACAGACTTAAACCACACAAGCAGCACCCAAAAAAGCCCAAACACATTGTTCCTACTGCCCTACCAGCAGCAGTAGGGATCCAAGGTGCACAGGCGGCAGATCCAAATTTTGGAGAAGTACATGTCTATGCACATCCAAATAAATCTGTCAGTAATCTTCAACAACGGAAAAAACAAGAGAAGGTACAACAGATAAACTTTGTATCATTAGAA